GGATTGCTCTTCAAGCTTAAAATCCATTTACTACTGTTTAAACCACCTTCTGAGTTATCGTTTTCGGGTAGTATTGCAGAAAATTAGAGAAATTGGTTGCAGAAATTGGAATATTATCTTCTAGCAACTGAAAAGGATGAAAAAGAAGATAAAGTTAAAACAGCAATTTTACTCAACTTGATTGGTGATGAAGGTTTGGCTATATTTATTACGTTTGGTCTATCTACTGAAACGTTGACATACAGCGCTGTAATTAATAAATTTGAAAACTACTGTAAATAAAAGAAGAATGTGTTGTTTGAGCGACACAAATTTTTTAAAACATTGAGAATGGATAGTCAGACTATTGACAATAAGGTGACAGTACTTCGCACTATTGGAGGAAGCTGTGAATTTTGTGATCAATTAGAATCTTTAATTAGAGATCAAATTGTGTTACATCTAACTGATCAAGGGCTACAGGCAAGAATTTTAAGAGAAAGTGAACTTGATTTACTTAAAGTGGTTGATTTTGTAAAAGCATTCGAAACTACAAAGGGACAAGTGAGAGTGATACAAGAGAAATCTGTGGAAGTCCATGGATTAAAAAAAGGTAATTATAAATCTAATATAACACAGTTAATGATGAGGGCAGGAAACTTAATAATAATCTTAGGCCTAAATATGGGAATCACAGTGATGTGAATAGCAATAATGATTCAGTATACTATCAGTGTCGGAAGTGTGAAAATAAACATAGAGCAATGTCCAGCATATGGAAAGTTCTGCAGCTTATGCAATAAGCCAAATCATTTTGCAGTTGCATGTTTTTAAAAAAAATATATAATTTTAGTAAGACAAAATATATATGAAAGTGAACAGAATTATGCTGATTCCCTTATTGACTCTTGTGAATTTGTTGAGAGCTCAAGAAAAATGTGTAAAGTTAATCTTTTACAGTGGTCACAAAAATTAATCATTAATAACGAGGAATTGGAGTTCAAGCTTGATACGGCAGCTGAGATAAATGTTAGAACAATAAGCTGTCTGTTTAAATTGGGAGTAAGTACTGACAATATATGTAGCAATAGACAAATAATACTGGAGGTATTTGGAGGTAATCAGTTAAAATCTTCAGGAGTTATTAAATTGAAATGTAGTGCCAATAAGGTGATGGATTATCAACTTTGTTTTGTTATAGAGGATGATACAAACAATAATAAAATTAAACCCTTACTGGGGTTGGATGGTTTTGTTAACTTAAACTTAATCAAAAGAATAAATAATCTTACATTAGATGATCAAAAGAAAATGGAAATTGTGAAGAGAAATGAAGACATACTTAATGGAACAGGACTGATAAAAATTTATGAGTGTCACATTAAAGTGGATAAATCTTTAGCACCAGTCATCATACCTCCTAGAGGAGTACCTTTAGCTATTAGGGACAGGTAGCAAGAAAAGTTAAACCTTTTTGAGAGAAAAAATTATTGAAAAAGTGGATGGTGCAGTGACATGGATCAGCAATCTGCTAGTAATCGAAAAATTAGATGGCGGTATGATCGAGTATGTTTGGACCCAACTGACCTGAACAAAGCCACAAATAAAAAAAAACTACGTTAATACCTTCCTTGCAAGAATTAACTTCTCAATTAGCTGGTGGCTATTGGGCGTATCCAACGCAACTGAGGAGTTCCAAAAGGTAAACACTTCCATATTTTCAGATATTTCAGGCCTTTTACTATATTTTTATGACATTTTAATTACAACTGAGACAGGTAAAGGACATAATGAAGTAGTAAATAAAGAATTAGAAAGGGCAAGATCAAGTAATATAAAATTTAATCCTGGTAAATGTCAATATAAAACTAATAATGTTACGTTCTTGGGATTTGAGTTTGGTATAAATGGTATGAAAATTGTCCCACAGAGAATAGAAGCTATTAGAAGTTTAGAGAACCCTAGTAATAATAAGGAATTACAGAGAATTTTGGGCATGCTTAATTACATAAGAAATTTGATTCCAAATTTTGCTGACTTAACGTCTAATTTGCATACCCTTTTAAAAAGTAATGTAGAATTTATTTGAACAGAAGCTCATTCAATGCTTCTGAAAAATATAAAATAATTAATTACAAAAATTCCAGTATTAACACATTTTGATACATCTAAGGAAATTACTATTGAATGTGATGCATCTAAGAATGCAATAGAAACCTGTATCACTGCTATCCATGGTCTTAGGTCATACTATCTAGGGTCTTGGGTGCAGTACTATGTGAGGAAGTACTGTTACAAGGCCAAAGTTTGTGCAAGGAGGTGATGGACCAATATCACGCTCAACCGCCAGGTTTTTCTCCTTAATTATTTTTTTAATTAAGGGTACCCTCTTTATAGAGGCTGCGTGTGCCCCAGGAGGGTCTCCCGATCCCAGGGTCGATTGACGGCTAATGAAAAATTATTAGTCAATAGCTGGATTCGAACATAGGACCTTGAGCTCTGAAAGTCAGTGCTCACACACTGAGCTACCCCGCTCCCCTAAGAATGCAATAGGATGCTGTCTAATGCAGGAGGGACAATCTATATCCTATGCATCAAGATCGTTGTCACCAACAGAAAAGAATTTTGCATAAATTGAAAAGGAGTTATTAAGTCTTCTTTTTGCAACATCTAAATTTCATTTATATATCTATGGACGTAAAACTTTTGTCAGCACGTACCAAAAACCTCTTATGTCTCTAATTAAAAAGAATGTTGGAGAAATACCATCACCCAGATTGCAGAGGATGATTCTTAAATTAATAAAATATGACTTAGATTTGAGATATGTGACTGTTATGGAATTATATATTACGGGTTTGCTGTCAAGAGGTTGTGAAAATGAAGAGAACATCAGTTCTGAAGAAGATTAGGTTAGTGAAATCGTTCATGAAGTAGCATCGAATAATTATCAATTGCAGGTCACACCTAGAAGAAAAAAGATTTTCGAAGAAGAAACCGCCAAGAAAACTCTCATAAGACCTATCCTTCTGAATGTTGGACAATCTTACGCACTCAAGAACTTCTACTCCTAATATTCGAGAGACGGATCTTAGGGAGAATTTTCGGGGCGATCTTCACGAATAATGACTGGTGACAGAGAACAAATGCTGAAATAGCTAGCTTGTACAAGAATATAAATGTCGTAAGATTTATTAAGATTGGAAGACTTCGCTGGGCGAAGCATGTCGCTAGAATGGAAGATGATAAGATCCCTAAAATTTGATCATTTCTAGGTCGCCATATTTAATGAATTACAGGAAAATACCATCGTGAGCCACTGCTTTCCTAAGCTTTATCTTCTGCTCATTCAACATCTTCCTCCCAAACAACTTCCAGACAGTGTCCAGACTGTCTACAAGACTCGTTTTTCATAAAGAAGTTGGCGTAGTGTCTTCTCCATATACCTAAGATTTCCTCAGAACTGGCCAGCACTTCTCCTTCTCCGTTATTAACATTTCTAACTGGTTTTGGTTTACTCAGGAGACCTCAAACATGTATTTCCGTTGAGAACTCAGATTTGAAAATTTTCACAATCGCAATGGTGTCCCTTATTATCTATTTCGTATATAAGTGAAAATAAGAAATGCTTGGGATAAGAAACGTATTATTACTAGTTTTTTTATAGCAATTGTTGACTAACAATATTACGTATAATTCTAGAAAAGAAACATTTTATATATATTAAATAATTAACTTAATGAGAAAACGCCCATTTCTGTTTATTTTCATAGATAAAAACGCTGCAAATGATTACACATTATAGTGACAAAGAAAAAGAAATAAAACATTATTACAATTATTGGCCTAAACTTTTTTGCTTCCTCGCTACCGAATATAGGGAAGCATTGTGTTTGTGCTCAGAATCAAATTTTTCCACTAGCGTTTTACGTTTCAGACATCAAGGATCAAATTTGGTCCAGTCGCTGTCTGTAGTCAAATCGATGTGAAGGGCATATCACCTACCGTCACAGTGCCGTTCATCCGATTTTCAGGGATTATGCTGATTGGTGCCTAGATGGTCCCATATCAGTTTTATCAAATTCCATCCAACACTTCCGCTTACGCACGCGCAAACGTATTCTTTTAGATATGAAAATATTTCAGAAAGGGATCGTTGGATTTGGCTCAAAGCTAGCTAAAATGTAGGTAATGGTGAAAAAATAATGCTATGTCAATTTTATTGAATTCTGTCCACTAATTTCTCGTATGTATGAGAAAACGTGTCAAATTTGAAGGAAAGTTGGGCATTGGTAAATAGATTTTATTAAATTCTATCCACTTCTCTTAGAAAAAATATTTTGCTTTTGGATCAGCAAACGTATTATTTGGCAAACCTATAACTTGAAAATTGCGCGTTCAATTTGACTCAAACTTGGAGAATAGTATATAAATTTCATTGAATTCCATTTAATAATTAAAATGAGATATTTCTGATTTGAGATATTCCCTGTTTTCGGGAAATTTCCAGTCACTGAACACCCTGTGCTTAAGACTAAGACTCTTAGTAAGGTAAATTAACATGTGCCAGAAACTAAATATTTATAATATATTGTCGGTTTATAGCAAGAAGTCACTACATTTTTTATGGTGCTAAACTTTAAATAATTTTTTTGTGATTTATTGATACAAAAACACATTAAGTGTACCAAAATGACAAAAACTCTTTTATATATGTATCAAAAATAGTTACAATAAGGGCACAATCTTTTGTTTTAAGTAAAAAAAAAAATCAACAATGTACATTAATGATTTAATTTTCTGTTATATATACTTAATGACTTTGCCTATAAATCCAGTCCAAGACATTGATTAGAAACATCTGAAGTACAGATCTATGTAACTTTTCAGAATCTGGCTATATTCCTGCTTAAATATGATAATAACCTTAAGCAGTTAACCATTTTTAACACACAAAAAATATATATAAAATTGATAGGGATTAATAAGAATTCATTGTATTATAATATTAAAAACCAAAAGAGATAAATATAAAATATATTTACATAATTAAATATAACATACAGGTACAAAAATTAGTATTATTAAAGGCATTGGTGAACTATCCCCTTCCTTAAAAAAATATTTTATTTTTAAATTGAGGAAGATAACAGTTAACAAATACCTTGAATAATAAAATAGATCTTCTAGATAGAGGAAATTGTTATATAAAAACTAGAATTAAATAGACATACTAATTAAACAAGAAAGTATCATAAAGACAGTCTTCAAATTCGGAAGTTTGTAAAATTTTACTTTTAAAATAACTACCATCTTGAACATCACTATACTCAACATGACAATTTTTTGTTTTCGTAGCAGTTGGAATACTAATACTAAGTTTTTCACTTAGATAATTGTTCACTTGATCAAATGTTTTTAAAAAGTTAAAGGTATTTCTTTCCTTCTTGCTAAGCACCTTTTCAAGCATAAATACTAAATGATGATGATAACACTGAAACTGCACATCAGATTTACAACATAAATCAACCCAATTTTGAACACAAGAGAGTGGTGTTTTTTCCAAGCCAGAAAACATTGCAGGATTCTGAAGAATACCTCGAGCAGCCATTACTCCTAAACAATAAGAAAACTTTCAACTAATTAGGATAAGTTCACAAAATAATAAAAAAATATTATAATAATCTACCATGTTTGCTTGCGTGTCTGTGTGTGTGTAATACAGAAGTATTTATCAGTTTCTTAGTTCTCAGGATTGATGGATTTAAACGAAAAAAAGGTATCAAAAGGAAGGGATTCCATGGGGAAGTGGCAGATTCCAATTTTAATCCTTAAATTTTGTGTTAAAATTATAGCAAAGGTCATTAAAAAAAAGTAGGAGATTTCAAAACTCTGGTGTACATAAGTTAATAATTCAAGATAAATAAAATGTGTATTAAATATTTTTGATGGAGACATCAAAACCTGTTACTGGGCTCTTCTTTGAACCATGCTGAGCCCTGTGTTTTAAGGCCATACATTGTACAGTTTTTCAGATAAATTGTAATTCTTGCCAAGTCTCCTAGGTGCTATAGTTGACGGAGAATACTAAACAAATATTTTTTGCATTTGCTTTTGCAATTATTTTTCTTTTAGCTTACATCTGAACTGTGGGAAAATCATTTGAATCATCCAAAGACGAGATATAAAAGGAAAATGAAATGGAAGTTAGAAAATTTTCACAGTTGTATTTCTTCTAACAACAGAAAATTGTTCAAACTGCTGAAAACATGATCATGAAATATTAGAGAAAAAGTCAAAGAAAATGTGGACAATGTTCACACTCATTTTCCTTTTTCTCTTCCTCTAAACAGGCAGAAATTTGAATCATGGAAATAGATCCAACTGTTTAAAAGAGAAAAAGGAAGAGGAAAAGTGAATGAAAATCGGAGAATTTTTTACACTAATTTTATATTTTGTTTTGCCCTAAACCGACAATAAATTGTTTGAACCTTGAAAATAGATTTGGTTGTTCATGAGATATTAATGGAAAAGCAAATGAAATATTAGAAAATATTTTACACTGGTTTTCCTTTTGACCAATCTCTAAGCAGAGGGAAATTCTATATACTTCTGATATATAGAATAATGATTATGTAATTATAACTATGCTATTACAATCAAAATTATGATGATGATAGTGTAATCAAATAATCATGTATTTTTTTTTTGTAATAACAATTGTTGATTATTGTTATGCTTATCCATATGCCTTAGCCAAATCTATTTAATATATATATATATATATACATATTTTTTTTTTTTTTTTTTTTGTTAATTCTAATATTAAATGCACTGCACTGCCTTAGATTGACTAAAATGAGATTATTGGTTTAAAGATTATTCTTACTCTTGTTTATGATTGTGTTTTTTATATTTAAATGCTGTAACTTTACTTATATTTTTCAATTTCATATTTATTCATTTTCTCTATGACAAAGCTTCCACTGTTTGTTTTTAAAAAAAATTTAAATAACATTAGAGGTAATGTATTTCATTCAACCATGTTTAAAAGTTAAATTATTACTTACTACCCCTCCTACCTCAACCCCGTCCAACTATCTCTCTCTGGTTGTCTGACTTCTACAGCTTTATCAGTTAGCAAGGTACTACTTTTTTTATTATTATCAAACCATTATTTATTTCCTTTTATACTTCAATCATTTGATTACTTATTCCACTTTTTTTATATTACTCATTACTTTTTCATTATCACTGTTTTTTATCTATTACAAGTTTTCTTTTGTATTAACACTTTAGTACTATTTGATACCTTATCAGTCATTACTACATTATTATATTGGTACATCAGATTACGATACTTATTCTGTTAATTGATTATCAATTCAAATACAATTATTTTTCCTCCATTAACCTTTAAGACTCATGCACACAAAATGCGATATGTCTCAGCACTATGATGTCACTTTCTGCAGTGATTACTATATATTTAACTACTACAGTCAGACAAAATGCGACAATCTATAGTGATACAAAGGGATTGCAGAACGCCAAGACATATTGTGTTTTACTTGAATGAGCCGTTATACTTTCCAATGTTGTATATTAATATTTATGCCAGTAATTCCATATACTTTTTTTCTTTTAAATAGTTTCACCTTCTTTGTACCTCCCCTTTTTTTTTACCCTGATAAGGACCAACAATATGGATCGATACGTGGGAATTGAATAAACAATTAGATACTATTTGACTTTTTTTTTCTAACCAACTACCAGACCATCTCATTTTTGAATGTTATAAGGACCATGTTACTAGAACATTAGTCCAATATATGAGCTACGTTTTATGATTCAAAACCATATTTGCAGCATTGGGGTATAACATCTTTTTTCGTCTGGCATCCGGTTCCTATCCTTCATGGAGAGGAGGCTATTAGATATTTATTTCAGAATGTCTAAATTAGTTTACAAGAAAATGAATAAAGGTGGCATTGAAAATCACAAGTTTGAGAAAGGAAAAGGCTTTAATTTCGAGACTTTTGGAAAGAATTAAAATATAATACAACTTTGAAATTGGTTTAAGAACTCAATTAACTACTGTAAGAACAATAATCATTGTTTTAATTCATTACCTTTGCATTTAGTGAGTTCATTCAAGTGAAAACAGTCATTAAGTGATTTGATGTCACCGTTTGCAATAACAGGTATATCTACACTATCAACTATACTTCTGATAGCATTGGTATTTACTGGTTCACTTCTTTCTTTGACAGTTCTTCCATGTACTGTTAAAAATGATACACCACAAGCCTCCAAATTTTTACAAAGTTGAACACTTTCCCTGTAATAATGAACAAATAAAGTACTTAATATTAGAATTCAATATGGATTGAGATATCATAGAATTTTTATTATTCATCAACAAAACTTGTACTAATATACCATTTTTTCATAAGACCAGAGTTACTTAAATGGCATATATTCTGTTATTATACAACTGCTGATGGTAACATCTTCCAGCCATCAAAAAAAGACACGTAATGTAAGACATCACAATTGAAGTTGTGATTTCAGAAAAAATATCCCCTGTGCTAACTAATTTCTTTGCACAATTTCCTATATTATAATACGGTAAGACATTGTGATAATTTGTTATTTATGGATAGGTAAGAATACAGGTTTTTTTTTAAATACATCAGGTAATAAACGTAAATCATCCTGATTCTATCACAGATTAGCTTCATATATATATATATATATATATATATATATATATATATATATATATATATATATATATAAACCCTGTACCACTACAACCCATAAAAGATCTTGGGTTCAGTACTATTTAGGAAAAGTACTGTTTCAAAGCCAACAATTGTGGAAGGAGATCGGGCCATGATCATGCTCAACCACCAGGCTTTCTCCCTTAATCAATTATTTAATTAAGAGTACCCACTTTGTAGAGGCTGGGTGTGCACAGGAAGCTCTTCCTACCCCAGGTTCGCCCCACGACCAATAAAACAGAATAAATAAATTTTCTGCCATGAGCTGGGATTCGAACCTGGGACCTTCAGCATTGGAAGCTTAGTGCTCTACCACTGAGCAATCCTGCTTCCAATTAGCTTCATATATCATTAACAATACAATTAACTTACTTGATATCATCTTTAATCCTCATTTTAACAGAAACTGTAAATGGCTTCGGAATGGAATTTCGAACTTGCTGTATCATTTCTTTGATTAATTGAGGATTGGAAAGTAACTCTGCTCCATAACCTTCATTCATAGCCCATCTTTGAGGACAACCACAATTTAAATCTACTCCATCAGAATAACTGAAATACGTTATAAATTGGATTTTAATATTTAATGCTAAAATAATTTCAGATAAATTTTAATTATGAAAAAACATTTGGTTAACAAAATAAGTTAGAGAAACTTCCCAACTATCATTGAAGAAGTAATGAATTTTAAGGAGCTATAACCTTAATATAACTAAACAATATAAAAAAGTGTGGTTTTTTGCCTGTCAAAAGATTTAATGAGGTAGTCCACTTTTGGATTTTTGATTTTTTACATGTTAGCACCCATAAAAATAAAAACTATTTCCACATTTTTTCACAACATAATCTCCATTTCAATCCTCAACTGACTGGCCTAATATTTTTTAAACCTGCCATATTTTTTAAATCAGTGGCTCTGGAATAAAAGATAAGGTTTATTTTACTTAGAATAGAATATGCTGTGATAATTCACATTCAAATCTTCTCCTAAAACAAGCACCCTTTTTGGCTTAATCATTTGCAATAACTAAATTCATGTTGACCATATATTTTTTCTCTATTCACTTTTTCTTCACTTATTTTTACTTTCACTTACCTATATATGTAATATGTGGTAAGGGAAAGTATTGTGATTGTGAAAATTTCCGAATCTGAGTTTTCAACGGAAATACTCGTTTTGAGGTATCCTGAGTCCAAATAACCAACTGGCGCAAAAAAAAAGTCTTACGAAACTGATATTACGTATTTAAGATAGCTATATGCCTTACATGTGACAGCAACTTTTTTCTTAAAATTGGCTAACGGGAAGTGCCGCTTTATATCCATACTGAAACACATTTTTACAATTTTCTCAAAAACGGCTCAAACAATCTTGAATAAACTCGGTGTATCATTTTATAATGAAGTAGTCTTTAATATCACTCAGGTCTTATCTCCATTGATGTCACTTTACAGGGCTTAAATGCCCAATGTTCATATGTGTCTTCCTCTAAAGTATGTTTAATATGGTTTATTTTAAATAATTAATCATCTCACACAGCGTTACAAAAAATGCTAAATATAACTTTTGAAAGAATTTGATACTCAAATCTCCGGAAATACTAGTCAAAACATATATATATTGTTGGAAAGTGGAGAATTTTAGACAGAATTTTGTATCTAATACAGAAAGTTGTAAAAGGTAACGGAGAGTGGTGAAAAAATTATAAATAATAATTTTTGAAAACTAATATTATTTAACGTTAAGCACATGTTTTCAAGGGAATTAAATGAAATTTACTAACTAAATGTAAACTCTTAAAATATTTTTAAGTTTGAAAAATTATTTAAAATTCATGGATTCAAAGCAATGACACTGTTTAAGATACTATTTCATTGTACTTGTGTGAAAGAAGAAGTGAAATAAAAAAATATTTCATGGATATGTTTATAACATTAAATATATTTACTGTATTTTGTTAAGGTTCTAGAATAAATCTAGCTCTGATATTATATTTAAATAATTGGGTATCTATCTGTCTACCTATCTATTGAGGTCTGTGGTATATTGTACTTCTCTTGTTTCATTTGATCCACCTTTTGATTCAACCCTAATCCACTTCATTCCTCCATAACCCATTTTTATTATAACCAGTGATCTCAATACCAATTTCTCTCTAACCTCAATGGCGAATGCTATCTGGAAAATGTATTGTTCTTGCTCCACCTATTCATCGTTCCTTTTTCCCTCGCTCACTATACCAACAGGTCTGACACTTGGCTAGATTTCTACATTATAGACTCTGTGCAAAACCTACTCCCCCCTTCTCAATTGGCAGTACACTTTCTATCATCTTATGATTTGATCCATATAAGATATAATATCTTAACTCCTCCAATCCAGACTCCAATTATCACTTTCCGCCATCGTGGATGCTTTGCAGATGACTACCAAACGTTAAAGGTGCTTTGTAACTTGACACAGAAAAGGATCCAATGACCGAAATCAGGCTTCACACAGTTAGAAGGATGATAGAACATGGATTGCACTGGCAAAGACCAGATGAGATTCAGGAATCACTCCACAACTTAAAGTAATATTTCTCTGTTTCAAAGGTATTGAAATTCTGAAAATTCACAAATAAACATAGGAATATAAAACCTGAAAAAATTAATTGAAAGAATTATAATCAAAGCAATTCTTATAAAGAAGATTGTGGGTTCTATTAGGAGAAGTGGACCTCCAGATGCTGAAGTATTTCCCTCATGAGTACATCTGATCTATGATTGAATGAATATTTAGAGCCCCAGAACCATCAAATTAACAATAAAATAAAAAAAAATTTCCAGAACCAGGGACAGAATAATAACTGGAGCAATTAAGTCTATTATAGAAGAGAAATTGGTTGGGATGTTCAGTAAAAAATAAACAAATTAAAGATAAATAAATGATATATATTTTTAATTTGTTTATTTTTGATAAATAAATGATATTTATTTTTGATTTGTTTATTTTTGAATGAACACCCATACCAACTTCTCTTCAATTATTCACTATACTCAACCATCATACCTTCCATGGAAGTCAAATGTGATATAAAACACTTTAACCTTAATCAAAAGTCTGAATTATCCATGAAAAAATATTCAGGAAAGAATTTCAAAGATTAGCTTAATTCATAAAATAATCTAATTTCAATAATCTTAAAATGGACATAAGATGGAATATCAAACAGCTCAACACCATATGATTCACTATTATAGCTAGTTATAGTCTTCCTATAATCTTATATCAGGGCTATTATAAGAAGTTCATTTCTTAATTTTTAAATGTATTAAAGGCAAAAAGGAAAATAAAAAGAATAAACCAAAATAAATAATCCTTAATAGTTTTACAAAATATTATTTCATAAGAAATGATATAAACTTACAAAACAAAAGAAAATGGCATTTTAAAAACAAGATCAGAAAAATAGAAACTAATAAAATCAAAAATAACTAAAGAGACATACATAAGAAAATTAATAGATCACTTGAGTATAATAACTTTGCTTTAATTAGATTAAATAAATAACAAATATGACTTACGGAGAAATAAGTTCTGCAGCAGAAACAAAATCATTAACATTCTTTGCAGCAAATTGAACAATTAGTGGTTTGTCATCTGAAACAAAATAATACAAATAGAGATGACTTTAAAAAATAATTTGTAAATGTTTTTAATTTATATCAATAGAAAGATAAATCATGTTATCTTTAAGCCTTCACTTATAGTGTTTACTGTCCAAGGTCTATGCTATGAAGTCTGTAGCTTTAATTTTTGTTCAATATTAACACACCAATTACCATGAGTGAATTTTTTTCCTAAAACCCTTTCATTTTGGATTTTCTGATTTCCCCTGTTACAAGGGGAGGTTACAAATAGTGGGTCACCAATTTCAACCAAATTTTTAGCTGTGATTTTATTTTACTTTGAAAATTACTGTACAAATGTCTCAGCAATCATTTCAATGGGCCTTAGGAGCGGAAGAAAAAAAAAATTCTTTTTGTCCTTACTTTGCCCGGATTTCCAGGTTATTATATACTAATTGATTTCCTTTTTTGTGCAAAATGAGAAAAAAATATTATTTAAATTATTAAATGAATTATAAAAAAACTTGTACCACTATAACCCATGAAGGGTCCTAGATTCAATACTTTTTAGGAAAAGCACTGTTTCTTGGTCTACAGTTGTACAAGGAGGTGATTTGACCAAGATCACGCTCAACTACCAGGTTTTTCTCCTTAATCAATTATTTTAATTAAGGGTACCCACTTTATAGAGGCTGGGAGTACCCAAGGAGGGTCTACCTACCTATGGTCGCCCCTAGCCCAATGAAACAGAATAAATAACTTTTCTGTAATGAACCCGGATTTGAACATGGGACCTTTAGCATAGGAAGCTCAGTACCCTACCAATGAGCCACCCCACTCCCATAAATAAGTTATAATACATCGTAAATTACAAAAACCAAGACACTTTTAGAAAAATAGGCCAAGAAAATTTTTAATAAGAAAAAGCAAGTTATTTCAAGCAAGTCCTTTAAAACAAATTTTTAACTCATCTGTTAACAAGTTTCCATCTCAACTCCTTTAACACAAGATCTCAACCCATGTACATTCCTACATTGCATTGTCAAAATAAATAGTATCATTTATTTTTGCTTTCTTATTTGACTGATCACCCCAACTATTCTTCTCTCCATTATTTACGACAGTCAACTATATAACCAATATTATAAATCTTTTATCATTTGTGCTACCATGTTTTTAGAATTCCATATCCATCTCCATTTGTAAAACCTCACCATTAACTTCATTTAAACATAAATTATTTCTCCATCTCTTTAATTATCAATCATTCACATATATGTAATTTTTTTTTCTTTCTATAGGTTCATATTATAAATATAATACTTTTTCATTGCAATTATTTTCATTATTTATTGGCCGAAACATGTAAACTTACCAATATACATTGTTCAGTATATATATTTATATAAATATACATTTATATATATATATGTGATTTCAGTATTTGAATTTATTTACTACTCTTTGTCTTATATTTTATAATTTATTAATTTCATAATTGTTATCAGTAGCCAAATAAATGTCTCTAGCATTGTGCATTTATATTATTCTAAGGGAACCAGCTATCTCAAATTAAATTTACATTCATTCTAATACATGATCCTGCATTGCACTGTTGGGTAAGTATTGTTAAAAAATTTTTGTCTTAGACAGTTCAAAGTAGTTATTTAACTTTGACATAATCTATTTAACACCCTCTAATTAATGGAAAACCCATTCCATTAATTACACCAAGTATGATATAGAAAATTTATTTAAAATATAATTTTTTTTTTTTTTTTATTTCTTTATGACATTTACAACTGTATTACATAAATACATCAAGTAAATTTGGACATAATTGATATAATGACATGAATACACTTGCTGAGTAACTACCCAATGGTAGCACTCTAATGATATGACTACATTAGGAGATCACGGGGCCATCTTCTTTTCAGACGCCTCGGAGGGTTATCAGGAATAGAAGAGGAAGCAAGGCTAGAAACGAGAGGGTTGGGATGATTCTGAAGTTTATTATGGAAGGATAAGTATCTGGATTGGGCCAGATCTGAAACATAAGGAATATTAAGATCTTTATGGATAATTTTATTAGTGACAAAGTAAGGAGCATTGAGGATTTTACGAAGGATTTTGGATTGTAAGGATTGGATGCAAGAGGAATTCGATGGTTTAGTGGAGCCCCATAGCTCAACTCCGTAAGTCCAAATAGGTCTTATTATAGTCAAGTATATGAGTCTTTTGTAATTAATGGGAAGTTTAGAGCGTTTGTCTAGTAAGTGCTGAAGTAATCGGAAACGTTGAGCGGTTTCTTGTCGTTTCAGTCTAGTATGAGGATTTTGTCAAGTTAGTCGTTTGTCCAGGTGGAGTCCTAGGTATCGGATTTGCTCAACAGGGATAAGTGGAGTATTGTTAAAGGAAACTGTAGGACAGGAAGTCGTTGGTTTACGACGAAGGGTAAAGGTAATTTGGTGGGATTTATTGGAGTTTATATTAATTCTCCAGTTTTGACACCATTCTTCTAGATTTATGATGTGTGATTGAAGCATTTGGGATGCAATTGCTGGGTCATTGTTTACTGATAGGATACATGTGTCATCGGCATATTAAATATAAATTTTAAGATACTACTTCACAAGTGTTTCTCCACATTGATGGATCTCATGATCACACTATAAATGGGATTTCGAGAAAAGTCAAGTAATGATGTGTTCACAGTAAAATTGGAATCGATAATTACAACTGAAAAAAATTAATGACCAAGCTAATTTTATACTTAATTCAATAGCACTATAAATATAGCAAAAATATTACATGGTTACCTGATTACAATCGTAATCGGAAACTTGATTACGATAGTAATTGTGTAATAAAAATAACTGTAATCATAATCATGATTACTGTACTCGTAATCGTTGATTATGATTATGCCCACCTATGTTCACAGGTATAACCTTCGTACATTAAGATCACAATTTACAACTTCTGCAAATTCAGAAGTCGCTCTCTTTTATCTTAAAATCACGACTTCAATTACATCACTGCTTCCAACTTTTGCTCACTCAAAAAAGATAAACAAATCCCCAACGGATTCTTTTCAGTTAAGGTCAGCGTCTTACCGGACCAGTCTCAGGATTCCATTTAAAGTGTGATCATATGATCTTGTATCCACTCATCAAAGTAGAGCAATAATAGTCAAGTAGTAGGTACATAGTTAATTTTGATTGTGGTAGTTTTTCAAATAAAATACTATTATTAAATTAATAGTGTCGTAATTATGCTAAATAATAAAAGAGGAATACAGGAAATGATTATTATGAGTCAAAAATTAAAATAATATAATTATTTCTTAGAAAGACATGTTAGTTTGGATGAAGAGCCGACAAACATTACAGTTAGTCGCTTCAAACTGCTATTTCTAAATAAAATAAACTGACAACCAAATTAAATAATCTGCTCTAAAGGATTGGTTATCGATCATCTCCATTTATGAATGGAGATGTGATATCTGATACACTCTAGTTGTTTCGGGATTACCTAAAGGGATGCTCAAAGTAATCTTAAAACCACTTGCCATCTCAGAGTAGCGATTTGGAATTCAGTACTGTCTAGTGTTATTAGTCAGTATAATGTAGTCGACCAAATAATAAAAACTTATAAATTTTCAATTTCAAAGCAAGAACATAATTATAAAGTATCATTTGCAACCAGAAACACCAACCTTATCATCAAAAAGGAAAACAGAACTAAATTACCTGTGTTCGTAACAAATTCATTGTGTCTTGCTTTCAATGACTGAACAAAAGAATCTGCCATGATCATAGGAGTGAAACAAAGCTGACATCCATACATCTTAACTAATGTTCGAAACTCCAATCTACATAATATTTTTATTTTAGTGATGGACATTTTTAGAACAAAAAATAAGTTAAACTCTTGGGGAAGCAAACCTACTTGCTGTACCTCACCATAGGTGCACACACATATACAACAGAATTGGTGCTAAAAAGGTCTAATACATCATACTTTGTACGAGTTTCCATATTGAGATAACAACAGTTGAATAATCAAATCGCTCAAATAAAATAAAACACCCAAATTGCTAGTCCATAACATACTACGTCAGGTTAAAAAACATGTCAACAGTAATAACCTTCCACTAGAATTCAACACATCTCTTGTGGCGACTGACCGTTCCTGGTGGAATGGAAGGAGGAGTCGTTCCAGTATGGTAACGTTACATTACCTCTGTTTTACCGTTCCACTATGAGCGAAACATCTATTAGTGTCTAGCATTGAATTTCATCAAATTTTATCTAATACTTTTGTTACGTACGTGCAAATGTATATTTGTAGATATGCCTATATTTCAGAAACACCACGTTCGATTTGGCTCGAGGTTGGCTACTGGTAAAAAAAATGATGGTGTATCAATTTTATTGAATTACACCCACTACTTATTTTTGAACGAAATGAATCCCAAAGAAGTCCTGTACTTTTAAAATTAATTGATGTCTTCGTCTTACTCTGTAACAATAAGGACGTCCGCAAATGAATCGATTGGAGAATCGTGCTATTTGAATCGTATATAGACGACAATTATTTGCGCGGGCTCATTACCGGATATGGAGAGAGTTGGCGGATGTGGGTATGGAAATTCGGTGAAAATTCCTTGGGAAGTTCGATGGATTCGCTGACCAACAATGAGAGGGGCCCTCTAGACTTGCTGGAGGGTGTGACGTAGGGTTGAACGCCTTACTCACATATCTTTAGTTCACTGTACAAATGCAAAGTTTACTACCATAAGTAGTCATGGATTTCCCTAAGAAAAAACTCTCACTACCCGGAGATAAACTATGCCCCCATTCGGGTCTTCGGACTGCTTCAGGGGATTTATGGTGCAAGTTGAACAATAGGGATTTAGGTATTAGTACGTGGAACGGAAGGAGTTTGAATTCGGCAGATGGGTTAAAATCGGTCGCGAACGAGATTAATGTATGTTTATGATAATTTGAATATCGTGGCTGTGCAAGAGGTTCGTTGGCCATTTTGTACAAAGGAAGCGAGAAACATTGATTAGGTTCCGGGATCCGAATTGGAAATAGATTGGTATCCGCTGTGAACGGGGTGGCTGACCGGACTAACGTGTGTGCACAGCACCGCTGTTACTCGGCTATTTGATATATGATACAATGATAAATTTTGTCACGAGTTCGAGTCCCGGTGCCGGGGGCGTCTTTTAAATCCCCATCCACACTCCTTGGCCCGGGAAAACACCGCATAGCCTTAAAGGCGAGGTAGGGGAGGACCAAAAAAAAAAAAAAAAAAAGATTGATATCCGTTTTGAGAGACCTACAATTCTTTAGTGATAGAATTTCTGTAGCCACAATTCAGAGAGGTTAGTTTAAAATCGCGTTAATAAACATATATTGTCCCAAAGAAGACAGTGATGTTGAAATCAAATGCGAATTTTATGATAAACTTGAATGGGTTTATGATAAACTACCGCAAAACTCCATAAAAATAATTGTAGGTGATACGAATTCAAAGGTAGAAAGGGAAAAAGTTTATTTCCCGAAAATTAGTAAAGAAAGTTAGCACAACAGCAATGATAATGGGATCTGTCTGATAAACTTTGCCATCTCGAAAAACCTGAAATTAAAAGTACTACGTTTAACCATAAGGATATATACCATAAATATACCTGGATGTCACGGATTCGTAAACACGAATTCAAATCTATCATTTCTTGATACAACATAGCTGGCAAAGCAGTATAATTAATGCACGGTCTTATTGCAGAGCAGAAAAGGGGTTGGTTCATGAATTAGTAATCGCGAAACTTCGACAAAAAATTAATATAAAAAAGAGAAAGAAAATCATTTGGATAACGAGAACTTTGATTTGCAAAAATAAAAAAATCCATCAATTAGAACTCAATTGTAACTAGATGTTAAGAATAGGTTTGAGGCTTTAAAATCTTTGGACGAAGATCACAGCGGTTGGAAACTCGTGTCTTGGGAAAAAGGAAATTAAAAAGAACAAACCGTGGTTCAATGAAGATTGTTTAAACATGTACAATAAAAGAAATAATGTTATAAGAAAAACAGAAATCTTATGAGCAAGGAGAACCGATAATATTCCTAGTGAACTAATTAAGGCATGCAGGGAAGCTGAGTTTCTAAAATAAATCTATTGGTTATAAAGATCTGAAAGTATGAGAAATTCCCTGAAGAATGGGAAGAATCTATTATTCCAATTCATAAAATGGGCTCGAGGATGGTTGTAATAATTATAGAGGATCTCATTTCTTCCGGCAAGTTATAAAATATTTAGATTAATCCTTATTAATCGAATTATTAAGAAGTTATCGGAGACTATCAATGTGGATTTAGACAGAAACGTTCAACTTTTGATCGAATATTTTGTTTAAGGCAAATATAGGAGAAAAAATTAGAGTACTACGGCGTTGTTCATCAGCTGTATGTCGAATTCAAAAATGACTTACGATTCTATTGACCGCCAGAAGCTATATAATATTTTAATCGAGCTGGAGATTCCAAAAAAATTAGTAAGTCCAGTTAGGATCAGCTTGATGGAAACGCTACATAAAGTTAAAATCGGTAATTATTTATCTGAAATGTTTGAGATTTGTTCGGGTTTAAAACAAGGCGATTCCCTTTCCTGTTCAATTTGGTATTATACTGCAAGATGATAATATTATTGCCATTAGGGAGATAATACATACCAAAAATGGGTTGGATCTGGGTGGGACAATGTGCTTGGCTATGCGGATGCTCTGGTCCTGTTAAGTGAATACATGTAAACTATAAAACTAAATACGACAACGTTAATAAAAGCCGGTAAAGAAATAGGGCTAGAAATAGACGCGGATAAGACAAAATATAAATTGGACAAAAATGCAGATAATGCCTGTGATATCGATATAGAAAGTAATATGTTTGAACATGTTGAGAAGTTTAGGTATCTAGGTTTTACAATAACTAGAAAAAACGGAATTGAAGAACAGATTAAGGTCAGGCTGAAGGCGGGATATGCTAGTTATTTTCTGTGACAAAACTACTTAGCTCGCGCCTCTTTTCCTGGAACATAAACACTAGAATCTATAAAGCCATTATTTTACCTACAGTTCTTTATGGATGCAAAATGTAGCCGCTTACATTAAGGGATAAGTAACATCTTAATGTTCTTGAAAATAAAGGCTTGGTAAGAATATTTGGAACGAATGAGTCAAACAGAGAATTTAGGCAGGTACACAAACTTTTTTTTTTATTGGATAACCTTCTATCCACCATTTTCGGAATAAGGGGGGGAGAGGGTTGTTCTAGAGGTACAACCAAACCTATTCTAACAAGAATGGGAGGGTCGAGTTTCATTCTGCGTTGCGTAAACTTTATCCGGTTAATACAATTGAGGTGATTACATCGCGGCGAATCAAATGGGCTTGTAAAATTGTTGGACTTGGTAACGAAAGAATTCCTAAAATGTTAATAATTGCTGCGCCGACTGGTAAACGTCCGAGGGGTAGAATGAAGCGAAGGCCGATCTAAAGGGGTATGGTATGGAAGTCGACCGTTGGAGGGAGGTTTGTAGACAGCGATTGGTGTCGGCATCGAACCTTTGGGTTCGCTAAGCTTTTTACTATTTATTTATTATATAAACACGAGCGATTTGAATCGTATCGACCGTCAGTTTTAAGCCGGGTCAAAATGTTGGCTTGAAATAAAATAGTTTTTCAGCTATCTTATTCTCTTTATGACCGCCACACGGGACCATCGCCCTCCTCTAAAATATACAACGGTCTATCACTAAGTTTTCAATGATTTATTTTTACTTTGTATTTCCAATGACAGCTATCTTCAACCAACTTTTTCAGATTTTTCCTCAGAAAGAACTTAAAAATCTCTTCAGCCCAAATAATACGTAATATTATATGTTACTACTCGTTTTATCTGGATTTTACTTATAATTATAAAAAAATAGATAAAACTTTTCTTAAAATAGGCTTTGATTGTTAACAATTGTTTATCTTTTTTCCACCTCCCAAGCTTTCACCAAAATAAAAACTTGATGAGGTTACATCCTTCGACCGTAATAGCCGCTGGAACCGCTGACCTTCGAGATAATGCCGAAGAATAAAAGAACGCGCTTAATCCCATTGATGCGTTTTAGAATGACCTGATGGAGTTCCGAAGGTCATCAATAAGCACAACACTGGATTTAAAAACTTTCCGATACTCTGCATACATACAGCAGCAACAGAAACTCCTGTTGATTTCAATCAACTCGAGAATAAGATTTTCAGGAAGTTATTAGTAAACAAAAAGAATAAGAAGAAAAAAATAGAAACTCAAATGGGGTATGGCCACACTTCAGCGTCATGTACTCTCAGGGACAAGATTTGTAGATGGTGTGCCCAAGGAAGAAGGAAAGAGCAGATCCAACTTGTTCTCGTGAAGGAGCTCCCACCAAACCTGACCAAACACAAGGCAGGAGAGCAATACGGCCCAGCACACATCAAGAAGACCCAAGAGATCGCGCGAAGAACCTAGTATGAATAGGATCTCCATTATTCAGCTCAATATGGACCGACCGCATATTGTAGCAGATGAGCTGCGAGCTCTCGCTCAACACTACGATATCATGGCGGTTCAAGAACCGAGCTGCCGTGAGAGTAAGGTTGTAGAAATTGGTCTCACATCAAGATTTATTGCTCTAGGGAGTGGAGAAAGGAGGCCTAGAGCTCCAATAATAGTAGAGCTAACCCAAATCTCGATGTGACGAGTTTTGAACAGTATACCAAGGCTAACAGAATAGCATGCTGCATCAGATGGGGCATCATCACTTTCACCTTTGCTTCAGTATAATTACCCAACGGCAGTGATATATGAGAGGGTATTTCCGTCATGGAAACGATAACTGGAAGATATAGGAATGCGATCTGTTCGGATACCAACTCCTGGAGCACGGCCTGGGGTTCCAGTCGAACAGACCGGAGGGATGTCAGACTTGCAGAATTCATTGCATGAGGCCAACTGGTACGGGTTAATGACCCGTCCGCCACTCGAACTTTCTCTGGACCACAGAGGCAGAGTTGCATAGATGTTACGTTGGCCTCCCAGACGCTGATAGGACACATTGTTGACTGGATCCTCATATCGGAAACGAGCTCCGACCAAAATGCGATTGCATTTGACCTGATACAGGACGCAAAAGTCTCCCACGGTATAGACAGAGGATATGTGACCAGAAGAGAAGAATGGAGCTTCTTCCGTTCAGCGCTGGAGGGAAAGCTAGTGGATGAAGAGTGGGACCCCGCGGATGTTAACAATACGGATGAGCTTGATTACCGAAGTCAGTAGGGATGCCGCGGAAGAATCCCTCCAGAACCGTAAAGCAAGAGGACAATCTGTCCCATGGTGGTCACCGCTCTTAACCATCCTGAAGAGAGAGCTCTACAAGGTCCGGTGGTCATATCCTAGATGTAGTAACGAAGAGAGCCGTGCTACACTTCGTGAGGAGTACAGGTCTAAGGCTAGGGTATAGCGGAATGAGGTGCACTCACAGAAACAAAGATCATGGGATGAAATCATCCAGGAAGGGACAGCGAAGAATCTCTGGGGTATCCCATACAGGTTACTTGGAAAACTAACCCCACAGCAAGTCATTGCAGCCATGAAGCAAGGGGGCACTCAGGCAGCCACTCTGGAGGATACAGTAAAGGAATTTATTAAAGATACATATCTCAGGGATGATCCATCACAGAATGATAATGACCATAAATTTGTGAGAAGAGCCACGGTATACCCGCCTGGGACGGACCTGTGCCCATCATGGGACATTTGGGACCTCCGTAGTGCCGGGGAAAGGCAAAAGACTAGCCGGGCCCCAGGTTTAGATGCAATTGATGCAGCAATGCTCAAGAATAGTATTCTCTATCTAGAGAATAGCCTGCTTGCGCTTCTCACCGACTGTCTAGATAGAGGATACTTTCCACGAAGCTGGAAAATTGCTGATGTCAGACTCTTCTACAAAGGAAGAGACAAGGACAAGCAACTTGCCAAATCATACAGGCCCATTTGTCTCCTTCCTATAATGAGCAAGATATTGGAAAACCTGGTGCTCTTGAGCCTTCGGGCAGTCTTATCAATATCGAGCCATCCACGGCAATATGGATCCACTAAAGGCAAGGGAACCGCAGATGCCATATCGCGAGTACGTCATGACGTTGAAGAAGGAGTGGAGAGGTATGTTATGCTTCTCCTGTTCGACATATCCTCTGCATTTGACAGCGTGTGGTGGCCGATTGTTCTCCAGCAACTCCAGAGGTATGAAATGACCAATGACCAATGACCTGTATGAACCAGTGAGAAGCTATCTCAAGGACCAGACATTGAAAATTAGGGGCAGATTCTTTGAAGTAGAAGACACCTTCGAAAGGGGCCACCCGCAGGGATCTGTTCTGGGTCCTGCCTTGTGGAAGCTAGTCTTTGACGAGTTGCTGGAGAAGTTGGAAGAGGAGCGGTTCTCTGCCACGGCCTATGTTGACTATTTGGCCACCGTGGTGGCCTCAAACAGCATAGCCGGTATGAAAGCAGAAGCCGACCGAGTGCAAGTACTGAGAGTGGGGACACCTCTCGATCTCCTCCTGCGAGAAGACTATTAACTCTTTAAAATGAAAAGAGAAGATTCGGCGGATCTTCCGAAACATCTAAAGATGATAATTGAAGAAGACCCAAGAAGATGGAAAAGAATTATCAGGGAGGACACAGTTGATCAATGGAACCAGCGATGGATGGCAACTCCGAAGGGAGCTGAAGTAAGAAATTACTTCCCCACGGTCACGTCACGATTAGATGCAAGATGGGTCCTCCCGGATTACTGGGTATCTCAACTCCTCACGGGACTCGGAGGCTTCCGAGCGAAGCTCGTTAAACAAGGAAAGAATATCGATCCGCTATGCCCAAATCGCAACATTCTGGAGACCGCCGAACATGTGGTCGTCGAATGTACTGCCTATGAGGCACTAAGAACTAAGCTCCTGGGAGAGGCGGGGATATATACACTGACAGAGAGCATGTTCCCCAGATAATGAGCAGAGATAATTACCCACATTATAGGGAATTCGTATACGGGTGGAACGATACGGTATGCCCTACACGTTTTAATCTGGGAAGAAGTAAAGGAAGTTAAGACAAGCTGCATCTGCTTCGAGGACCGGCTTCAGGTGGAAGAATGGAGAAAAAGAAGTGTGGGCTTGTGCACAAAAACAAATCTACACCTCATAAATAAATTTTTTTTAATTATATAGACCTATACTGCCAGCAGCTTCATAGGCATACTGCTGCTACAACCCGTATTGCCTATAAGGCAAGGCAGCGAGAAAAAAAAAATGTTGATTTCAATCAGTTGAAGAATTACATCGATGGAATTCGATCTGAGTTTCTTAACTTACCCCTCATGTAAGCCGGGAATATTGAAGTGATAGTGATAGGAAATAATCGTTTTGTTTTTTAAATTGGATTTTTGATTAAAACTGATTTCGCATGTTTTGTAATTTCCATTTATAAGCGATGTCTGCAAATTATGAGAGTGTAGAGGAATGGTGTAATATGGATGTTGATGTAGAGAGAAGTGGAGTTGGGATAGAATCTTCAATTGTATTCTATATTAAATATTATTTCTAATATTAAAATTTATAGACAATATATAATTCAACATTAAACGTTTTTTAGGAACCTTTGTTAAGGGCTTTTAGTGGTCCTCGAGAAGAAATCAGACACCCTCTATACAGAGTGTTGAATTGTGAAGATTTTCTTTTGTCTATTTTGAAAGTCAATACATGCTCAAGGATTTTAAAAGACAAGAGTGCTACTTGTGTGGCGATTCTCAGCAGTTTATTATCTCTTTCCAGACAAAAAGAATGGAAGATTATTATTTCATTACTAAAGATTGTTTTAGAATCTGATTTTAAAGAAAAGAATAAATTCATACAAGACATTTGGAGTAAACAAGGTAATTATACAACTAGTTTTTCTTCTTTAATTTATTTTAATATTTCAGTGAAGGTCCTTCAGCCAGAATTAGAGCCATTACCAAGTCCTCAAAAAAGCGTAACACAATTTTATTTCTAACATATTTTTTTCTAAATCTCAATGGAATCTTGAATCTACCTACTTTTTTGTGTTCAGTAAAATGTTAAGGTGCTAAGGTGCTGGATGTCAATTCTACTTATATATATATATATATATATATATATATATATATATATATATATATATATATATATATATATATAATATAATTATATTATATATAATATAATTTGACATTCCTATAAATACAATGGCATGAGAGACATGCCACATATATATGTTGTATGTATATATATATATACATACAACATATATATATGCATACAACACACATTCCCAATCCATTATGCCATTTATTAGCAATAGTTTTTTTTTTGTTGCTTTGCAAGGCTCATCAAGTAACCACAAATGCACTAAGGAATAATTAGGGAAAAACTCTTAACTCATACTAATGGCATGAGGAGTTGTTTGTAGTCCTTTAGTTATGAAAAAAATCTAGTAAGTCCGGTTTTTTTTTAATTAAGAATTTGGCCAATAAGTAGGTGAATGAGGTGATATTGTGTCATTTCAAAGGATGTCAGCATAGAACAGACCTTCCTCATGGATTAGATAGTCTTGAGCCCTAAGACTGATCTTTAGCATTATTGTTGCCTAACGCATCTACCAAGACATATAAAGAAATTACTAAAAATGGTGAGGGTCAGGACATACCTCAACAAGGAGGGGAGGCAATAGACCGGCGTAAGAGTAATATTTTGTTGTGTATAGTGTGATGGCTGTTACAGGTATTTGCGCACGATTACGTTTGTGTTAGTTTGAGGAGAATGGCAGTGCTTCCATGTGAAGTACCATCTGGTTGGTCACTTCTGTATATTTTATAACCATGGATGTAAAATTTAGAATGTGGCGTCAGATGAGTTTCTGTTATTAGTGCAATGTCAATACATTCCATAGAATGATATAGCAGTTACATGCCAAGTGCAAGCATTATTAAATATTATGTTATTTTTATAATTTTACTTAATATTTTTTAAAATTTAATTTGTACTAAAGAAAACGCAACCATTAAATGTGAACAGAACAAGAATAATTACATGAACAGACTTGTTGAGATACTATCCAATGACAGCACTCCCTAAATAGTTCTAAGTAAGAAGATCCGGCCATCTTTTCAGAGGATTATCAGGAATCAAGGGAATTTGGATGGGTCTGGAGTTTATCATGGACTTAAGGTTTATCATGTTTCGTATTTAAGGATAGGTATCTGAATAATCCTTTATGTAGTTAATAATCCTTATTAAATTCAATCATATGCTGTTATAATTTATAATTTTGCTGCTTGAAGGCGATATAGTCTTCTGGGAGTTGGGTAGCATCTTTCTTTTCATGCATTCTCTCAGTGCGGGTGTCAGCCAAGTAGCATGGCAGTTGAGGATGGTGTGAAGATGGTCAGTAAGGATTTCTACCAATGGATTTTAAGGAATATATGGGGTCCCATTGAGCAGTGTCGAGGTCCTGCAACAGGGCTTCATAGGTGAGGGAATTGAGATTTTGGAAGGACAAGGTTTGAGAAGAAAAAAATGGGACCAGGATGTTGTAGCAAATCTGGATAAGATCATGGGAAGAGAGAAACGGAACTGGGGTGCTGAGATACTGCATCGAGTTTGTCTAGGGAAACCAAGATAAACAGATCAAGCCAGGACTGAGAACTATAGAGGTATGATGGGTAGGGTTGTAGGGTACTATATAAAGGCTGGAGGATTGGAGGAGGCTGGTCAGGTAGGAATGGTCAGAAGATGGTATAATTAAATTTTATTGAAGTCTCTGGAGAAGATAATATTGGAGTAGGAAGGGATCAAATTGTAAGGGAAGTCTCAAATAATTCATCAAGAGAATTCTGGGAGGGCGATAAATGAAACAGCACTCAGTCTATTATACGCCGAGTCAAATTCCGTTATTTCCATCAATCCTTATCTAACACCCCAAACTCCAAGGCCAAGTGGACTATCCTAAAAAAACTGACCATTTGTAATACACCTCAAACCCAGTTCCTTTCCTTTTCTGCTGATGACCTTAACGCTCACTTTGTCTCCTCTCCCTTTTCATCCTCATCTCCTGCGACCATACCAGCTCCTTTGTATTCCCCTTTTAATTTTAATTCTGATAACTTTTTTTCCCTCCCATATTAGCCCTGATGACTTCCTTATCTCCATTCAGAAATCACATACCAATGATTATGGATCCCATAACATCCCAGGCAGACTGATCAAAGCCTCTCTACCATCCATTCTTCCTATCCTCTACCATATCTACTATTACTCAGTACAAAATGCTATCTTTCCTACATTCTGGAAAACCGCAGTAGTTTGCCCTTTGAAGAAAACTTCCAACCCATCAACTTTAATGATTTCCATCCAATTTCTCTCCTCTCAAACCTGTAGAGCGACAAGTTCAACCCCAGTTATCCGAATTTTAGAACAGAATAACCTTCTAAATCCCAACCAGTCCGGTTTCCGGCCTGGCTACTCCACTCAGTCTGCCCTCATCAAAATTTCCCAAGACCTTCATACAGCCATGGACCAGCAGAAACTCACCATCCTTATTCTCCTTGAATTATCCAAAGCCTTTGACTCAGAAGACTGCAAAATTCTCCTAACCAAGCTTAAAAGTATCTCCTTTTCTACTAGTGCCCTTAATTGGTTCCAATCCTTTCTTACCATTCACTCCCAGTATGTTGTAGTCCCCGATAACCCCCCCCATCAGTATCTTTATTCTTATCCAGAGGTGTCCCGCAACGCTCCTCCAGATTTTCCACCCTTTTTTTCTATCTATATCAATGACCTCCCTTCCATCCTCTATCCTATACTGTAAATAACATCTGTATGCTGACGACGTCCAGATTTACCTCTCCTTCAGTCCGGCTGAATCCTCTGACACCATCCAAAAATTGCAGGAGGGTATAAACGGAATTTCGACCTGGGCAAACCACAATAGGATTACTCTAAACACCAAGAAGATGAAAGCCATCTTGATGAGATCTCCTTCACTCCTCAAATCCTTACCGACATTCTCCAATCTTTTCCTGATTAACTCACCTATCTCATTCCGTACTTTTGTAACAAACCTTGGTGTTACTTTTGATCAAACCCTCTCCTGGAAACCATACATCTCCCAAATTTCCCACCGTACTATCTCTATCCTGAAACAGTTTAACTGTATCCACTATCTCCTTCCATATAAATCCCATCATCTCCTGGTTCTTCTCTTGTATTCTCTCAATTCGACTATGGCTGTCAGGTGTACGGCGGACTCTCGGGAGAATTCGAGGCCAAACTTAAACGCCTAATGAACTGCACAATGAATTTTTTCGGAATCTCAAGAGACAGGCATATAACGGTATTACACCAAGCTTAACTCGCTCTATCCATCCAACCTGTACTTCGTTGCTACCTATATTTTACACATCCTACAATTTAAATTTTCCATTTAATCCTGTACTTCCAACCTCCATCCACCTCTTCACAGAATTGCTGCGTTTGAAAACTCGTTTATAATCAAGCAGTCTCCTTCTGGAATACATCCCTCCCAATATCCGACATGCACTATCAGTTTCCTCATTTAAATTTCTCTTTATTAAGCACCTACTCCTTTTCCAACCAGATTGATTACGAAATGTACACAAGAGAACTTTTGAAGTTCCCCAAGAAATGATTTTGTTTACTTATGTTATTTTATTTTTTACATGTTTTATATATATATCTTTATGTTTTTTTCTTCTTCCAATATTTTAATTTTAATGATATTTGTAAATATTTAATTTAATTTATGGCCACACAGGCATTTTTTCTATATCTATAATTTGTTATTAAGAGAAAACAGTCCCAGGATAAAAAAAAAATATTTCCATTTTTTTATCTTCCTATTAGATATTAAATTACTTTTCTTATTCTATATCTGTTGTAGTTAAGGCCATTCATGTTATTACTTTCCTACCTATACTAGGTAAGGGAAGTATTACGATCGGGTCAAATTTCCGATATGCGGTTTTTATGTGACGGACTTATACGTTTCAGCATATTGGAAATTTTACCTGATCGCAATAATTTCCTTACCTAATTTTTATTTGTATTATTGTACTTTTTCAAAATACATGTGATTTTTTAAAATATCTATCTTGTTTCTCACTAAATTTAACTTTTAATTTTGCTATAATATATATTTTAGTTTTTGGTTCTTAATGGTAAACCTTCCATTGCAAGGGACCTAAGGACATCACAACCTTCTTGATTTAAAATTAGTATTGAGACACCCATTTGAATGTTATAAGACTCAAACAAAATTTCTAGATTTATATAATAAAACAGTGGTAAACTACTTACTTTTTTTGTTTATTTTTTTAGAACTCCATACAATGCCAGTTGATGTGGTATTAATATTATTGAACTCTAAACCTGACTTGGTAGAAAAACAATTGTGCAATTTATATTCCATGGCAAGAAAAAACAAGAACATATGGCAAAATGATTGCTTTCAATGTTGGGTATTCTGGTGTTCTAAGTCAGCAGAATTATTCCATGTAGTTAGTTCAATTTTTAACCAATTTCTAATCTATTTAAATGCTAATTCAGTCATTTTAGATATTGTTACTAAATTTATAACTGATGTAATGGCCGAATGTGATAAAAACAAAAGCAACTTCTTATCATTATATCCCATTGAATATCAAAGCTTTGTTGCATTGTTAATTATTGAACCAGACTTCAATCCTTATAGAAATGCAGTAATAGAAAAAATTAAATTTATTAAAAATACTGATCCTACAGATTTGTTGCTATTATTGAGCCATTTTCCATTATGGATGAATGTATTTAATGATTTATAAAAAAAATAAAAATAAATTACAGAGGTGTACCTCTCGCATAACAATTGAGTAATTGTTTTTAATTAAATCTATATTAATATATTCATCTTACAGCATATTCCCAGATACTACGCATTCAATATCTTATTTTGACTTTCCAGCACCAAAAACAATTTGAAAATTAACTATAAATCTATCTCAAATTCATTATTGACAGATTCTGCAAACTAAGTAATGCGAAAACAAAGGAAATATGAAATCAAAGATTAGACTTTCAACTATTTGTTTTGTAATAAAGCAACAAATTTAAGGAAACTGAATATATTTTCTTTTTTTAATCACTTATTTCCATGGTGAACCACCAATTTTTATGGAAATATAGTTAAGTATAGATTCTTATATAAAAACATCCAATGGGACACTTTTTATTTCAAAAATGTAATGGAACTTAAAAATAAATTTATTTAATGGTTAACAAAAAGTTAATTTTTATAACTTTTCTCTCCTGAATCACACTCAATTTTTTCTCTCTAAAGCAAACCCCAATCAACCTTTTTTTTTTTTTTGTTAAAAACGGGCCCTGAAGTTTGATTCTTTACAAAAGAGACCTTATTAAACTTTCAATGTTTGTTAAATTCCTACTGGAATCAGTGATTTTCGGAACCATATTCAACAAACAAAGAATTTCCTAATTTATTTTTTAAAATATATTGGTTTTGATATTACGACAATTAGAATAGAAAATATAGTTTTTCACATTTTCCTGAATAATAGTTAATGATTAAGGTTCATTTTGGAAATAAAATACATTTAATGTTTGTCTTTTTTATATCAGATGGAAAATTAAAGGATTTAAATCATATTTTTAAATATCTTAGATTTGTAACAATTTTCATTATTTATTAAAATATTAGTATATAACGATAATTTAACAGTATAGTTTTAATTAACTTAAAAAAAAAAATGAATAAAAAGAATATTGTTAGTTTTTGGTGACAACTTATAACCAGCCTCATACTAATTGAAAACTAGACACCAAATGACTGGCTAAATCCCTAAAAAAATAATTGTTTTTTTAGGGAAATTAAAAGTCATTTGCGACAGCCTAAAAAGTGTGATAAATGACAGAATTATTAATATTGATTATCTCTAGTAATTATTGTGCCATTTAGCCTGTTGGCAATGCAATTTAGCTAAATTGTTTAACTCAATTCTTTTGGTTTGGCACTTTTGCCAGTCATGGATCTCCAGTCTTTAATCCCTGGTAAGACCTCTTGAAAATATCTTTTACCCTTTATTGAATAATTTCCCATCTGACAGTAGCATAAGAAATACAATATTAGTCATTAATTGTAAGGTTGCCCGCTATAAGAAGAAACAATTATTTCTACTGATCCCATTTTATTATCTTTTTTTCTACTTAAAGCTAGTGCTTTACTAGGTTGTTAAGAGAGAAGCATTTTCTTCTTATGTCCTGGTCAGCTGATATTCAATCTTGGTTAAACAGTATTGAAAGATAAATTAATGGATAGAATGACAAAAAATATTTTTCCTTGCAGTGTCAATTGAAAGAAGATAAAGCGAAAGTTACTTTAAAAAAAAAAACCCTTAGGATATAATCTTTTTCCAGACCTCTTGCAAGTTCAGAAAAAATTGTTTTGTCATTTCAGAATGTCAGGTGAAAAATTCTATGAGTTAATAAAATAAATGTAGTTTTGAAAAACAAATTATAGAAAGCAATTTGACACGCTACTCTACTAATCTAGGGAACGACAACCTGAAAAATGCAATAATAGTTTTTATTAAGACAAAATTGACTTGAGTAGTATCTTTTCTTTTTAGATGGCCCAATTATCTAATCAAATTAAAACTTTTAATATTGAGCCATTAATTAGTTACTCGAAGTAAAACCAAATTTAGAAAGGCACAGGTTATTAAGGGACCATCTAAGCCACAAAACTAACCTCTTTTAATCAATTTTAGAAGATTTTTAAGTTATTTTCTTTAAAATTATATTTACGTAAAACACAATAACATTGATAATAATATAATTTAGATTCATAATCAATGGCGGATCCAGACTTCGTTCTTAATATGGAACAGGTTTAACTTTAATAAATAAGCTTGCAACTTATAAAAGTTATCAATGATATACATTTATGTTGAGTGGTATTATAATTTTTTTATAATAAATATGAAATCATCTTACAGTATACAAAGACTGAACCCTTACATACATAACCTTTCCAGAAGTTCAGGAAGAACAATGGTTTATTTATAAAAAGAAATACAATTTCCATTAAAAATCAACATTTTATTTTAAAAATAAATTACATGTTTAAAATTGTAATTCTTATTTTTCCATATAATTGATGATTGGGCATAACTCCATTTCCTTCAGTGAATAATCAAAGAGGGTGGGTAAGCCCCTCTCTGGATCCGCCAAAGTTCATAATAAATTATTAAATATATTAAAAAAATAAATGAGTCTGCCACACTAAATATATGTTAATCAAAAAAATGATAAATATTAATAAAACAAAAAATGTGAAGAACTGATGTTTGTCTACATAGGATAGACAGTTTCCTATATTGAAATAAATAAAATGTAAAATAGAATAGTAAAACAAATTGAGAGCAGGCTCATTAAACTGTAAAATATACACATATAAACTAGCCGAGAAAAGTGAATTTGTGTGTAAAATGGTCCCAGATGGATGTAAAAAAACACATAAGAATAACAAGTAAAAGGATTTATATATATAACATTTCATTAAATCTAACAAAAGTCACACGCACACACACACATTCATGCTCTCTTTTCGTCAGAAGTAACATAAAATCCATCTTTGTGTGTCATCATTTATTATATATATATATATATATATATATATAATATGTTTTAATTAGATTTATAATCTAAAGCCAATCATCTCACAATATGGAGGATAGCTTTCCACCTTTAGGAAATATAGTGGCAGTGTAATTGCTAATATTAATTACCATTTAAATTATCCAAATTCTTTTTCAAAGCAGATCAAAAATCACTAAACAATACTCAATGAATTTTTAGACATTAAGTCAGACATATAACAACAACAGTGTTACCTATATTCAATTATTTTAAAATAATAAAAAGAAAAAAATCTCTAATTTAAAGTATGATTGAGCTTATATGACAAAATAAAGCTAAGGGAGGAAAAATAAGTGCAATTTTTTTTCTTTTTCTTTTTTTTTGCCAAAATAAGCTGAAATTCATACTTAAGGAAACATATCAGTTTGTACATTAAGGTATATAATATTAAAAAATTAACTAATCGGTGGCCCTAATAAAAAAAAAAATCAAAAGTGCAATGGATGGTCCAGCCACCCAGCAACTTAATCTGAACATCGAATATTTTATAGTTTATAATCATTTTGGTAACTTGAGTGATTCTTTTATAGTTATAAAATATTATATTTTTATATCATCAAACTGGATTTTCTTAAAAAATAAAATAATGAATGGTATAACCATCACATAATACAAAGAAACATTTTCTCTTTACATTTACTTTCAAATAAATAATAAAGTATTAAAATCTATAACATTTTAAGTAAAACTGGAAGAAAAGACTAGAAACATCATCTACAAAAATGAGTAATGAACAAAGAATCTATTAAGACGGAAATTTAAGTGAGATTGTAAATCTCAGGCCTTTTAAAGGCATCGTAAATACAATAAACTTTAAAAACATAACTTAGTACCTCATCAATTTTATATATATAAAATTAATTTTATATATATATAATTAAAAAATTAAATAACATTTCTTCTTATAAACCCTTACCCATACCATAATATTCAAAACATCAAAATATTACTTTCTTTATTTTTTCTTATCCAATCATTATTTAACAAACAAACAAGCAAAACAAATGCTTAGTTAAAAAAGTATTTTCTAAAATTTATTTGATTATTCCCTAGGAGCAACAGAACATGTCTAATTTTACTACATTAAAACCATCCTTAAAGCAATTAATACTAATACTTATTTACATAGTGCAACAGAATTTAGTTTATAATATGTTAAATAAACTTCTAAAAAATAAATAACAAAGCCCTTTCTTTCATTTTTAGGATGGTAATAACCAGTAAAGCATGTGCCTTTTTAAATTTTATATTGTTCGTTTTTTCCATTGGGAATACTATCATATACACAATAGAGGGCCAAAAAAATATGTTAATATCACATCTACCCATTAAAATTTTTTTTTTGGAGTTCATCTTCTTTATCGCTTGGTCAACAATAAACAATAATTTACTAATAATGTTAACATTCAACACAAAATAAATAAATAAATATTTTCAATAAAGTTTTGAAAATGTAATTTAACATGACCATAAATGCCTTTGTTTCTAAACAAGGCATTTTTTCTTTTTAACTCCTCATTTTACTATTATTTATTTATTTTTAGAAAGGCCAACAGTAAAATAGAATATATTTTGATGAGCAATAAGGAAGTTGATATCCAAATATTTTAGCTATATTTATATGTATATACATATACATAATTTTTTATATTTATATACATATATATATTTATAAAATTATCTGCTTAATGTTACATTCAAAGAATACACATAATTTTTACCTCAATTACTTATCATTACAGACATAATCCTTTTGAGGCATGTGGCATAACAATCAAACGTAATTAACTCAATTGACGTGCCATCCCAACAAACATAAAGTACTTTTCATTATAACTAAAACCATCTCTAGGCTGGTGATGAATGATTCACCCACACATATAGACTAAGTAAAAATATTGACTTATACATGCAGAGCATTCATTATAAATACAATGCATCAGTAGAGGCAAAGTATGACACATCAACTTGACAACAAGTTTTCGCCATACCAACTTGGCAACGGCAATATATATATTTATAAATAATCTTACAAAACATAAGGACAAAAACACGACAATTTTTTTTAACGAGTTTGAAGTCCTCACTATATCTGTGAGATCTCTTTCTTTAATATATAGTATGTATATTTTCTGTTTCAAATTTCATTATATTCGACATTCGTTTAAACACATTTGTACCGAAGCAAATCGTTGCTAATAATCTTTACCATCATGATTGAATCACTTGACTTGCTGTTTACACAATAAAACCGCCTGGAGGGAATAAGTGTCTCTATGTTTGTTGAAGGAATATTTGAGTCACCTAGTAAAAATGCCATCCTCACTTAGGCCCAGGCGGAGTTTCAGCACCACTCACTTTGTCAGATGCGTCCTTCATTTTTTCACAATAATCAGCAAATATATCACGGAAACGTCCCCATGATTTTTCAGGCACTGTGATCGCTGTTCGAAAGTTAGTTTTAACCTAAAAAAGAAAATATACAATTTCTGATTCATTGTTCAAAAATAAATCTTATAAAAAAATAATAGATCATATAATATATTAAATATTATGAGTGTGATGTTAAACTTGATGGATTGTGTAGTAGGTACTCACAAGATAAAAAAGGCAATGCTTGCTCTTACAGAGCTCTATTCAAGTGTAGAATTTGATGAAAGCATATTTCCTCTTTATAAATCATTATTGCATCAGTTTTTCTTTTAGCATTTATCTCATTGTGTTTTGTCATAATAAGCTATGTTACACTGTCAATAATTATGATATCCCCACTATATCAAACTATTCTACCATTAAATAACGTAGGTGCAACACTTTTTATCATAATTAGAAATATAATATTAGCACCTTCAGTATGGAGGCTTCCAACTCTTGTATCTTTAATACTTTAATAGATTTTTTTTCTTCAAAATTTATCTGATGAAGTATGAGATCAAGGAAGAACTTCAAGACTTAATCAAGATAAAAACTTAAGCTTGATTTGTGTGTTCCCTCTTATTGACACCCCAAACCAACTTTTTCCAAATAATTACAGAAATTATTTTTTATTTGCAAAATGAGCTGTTTTAACACAATGGAAGTGTAATGTTAATTTCTGCAGAAACTTATATATGATATTAGCATAGAAAAAAAAAGATAACTACATAATCATCTCACTCTTATAACAAAATTTTGTTTTGTAAGAGTTCAAAGTATACCTACCGTTATATTTTATCCCCAGGTTCAGAATATAATATGAGTTCTCTGTTTGGAAACAAAATACTTTTATTTCATCACAAAACTTAGAACAACATTTTCTAAACAGAATTAATAGAATTTCTAATAATTAATGACACATCTGAATTTTTTTAACAATATAAAAACATTTAAATATTTATTAAATGCCATTTTAACTAAGTTTATTACAAAATCCCCCCCTCTCTCTCTCTATATTTTTTTTTATTCGGTTGGCGCTACAGACCATGAAGATTTTTGACCGCGAGTGTGGTCTCTTATACCACATTCCGATTCCTGATTTAAAGTACGGGGTAGGAGTATCACTCCTATGTACGGTCGGAGTGAGTTGCCTCCAGTAGGCTGACAGTTCCCTCACTTACCGGGAGAGGGGAAGGAATCTCGGGCAGCGTGGCTTAACTTTGATTACCTATTGCAAGTGCCTTAGCCCGCAAGGGTATTCCTCCAGCCCCTATATATTAGTATATGTTTATATATATAACATTATTGATTATTTATTTATATATAATAAAAATATATACAAATATCTTTTTTTAGCATGAAAAAAATTGTTGCATGTTGTTTTTTTAGGACCGTTTTCATATACCTAATTGAAAAATCATTTCAAATGCCAATCAAAAGATTCTACATTTCATTTACTGTAAATTATATTTTTCTTTAAAATTTTCTCTCCATTTAAATCAAAATCTTTCATAAATTCACAACTTATATAGCTAACTCAGAAACCCCATCAGGTTGTCAAGGTTGGCTTCTTGTACAACCCTGAGAAGGCCGAATAGGGTTACAAAGCAATAATACAGGAATGAATTTCATGAACTAGATTGAAAATGTAAGCGGGCACTCATGAGTGGCGTTCTATCTACGACAAAAGTGTTGATAAGTCACTTCAAAAATAATAACCCATTGTGCTGAAATTTTTATAATCTTAAATAATCTTGTACTAATTGTTGCTACTAATAACTCGAGTTTAGGAATACATACTTTTTTTCAAAAGGGCAACTCTAGACTGAGCAAGCAAAAGAGAGATCATAAAGGTTTTTAAATGGCTCTACATCATAAATAGAGGAACTGCATAGTCATCCTTGCTTGTATCACAAATTAATGAATGCTATATTTGATTTCCCTAGGTTTAAAAAATAATATAATTACTCTGGAAATAAAACACTTTTATTTCAGCACAAAACAGAAAAATATTTTTTAAACTGAATTTCTAACAATGAATTTTTAAACCAAATAAAAACATTTAAAAATTTATAAAAAGACCAGTTTAACTGAGGAGGTTCATGCTTCTTCCCCAATACCAAACCAAGTAATGCTACCAGTAATTGCTGACTATCCTATTTTAATATTATAACGAGTACCGGATTTGAATATAATATTTTCGTTAAAAACAAATTATTTTCAGAAATTTTTAACCATAAATTTCCTAAATAATAGAATATTAAATAAAATGTTTACCTCAGATATGCGCATGTAGATGCCCCTATTATTCTGACCAATGTCAAAATAAAAGTTTTTGTTATCTACCCGCATATGCCTGCCCTCCGGTAATTCTCCTTTAAAACCACCATCATCAGTTCCGAATTCGACAAGGAGATCTGTAAGGGCATCTCGAAATTCTATCATACCCTGTGCTGGTATCGCAATTTGTGACCTTGGACCACCACGCGATATTGTTTGTGATACCTAAAATGATTACTTTGTAAATTAAATTTATAAATTATTAGGTAATAATAAAGTAATAAATAATTAAGTTATTAGGTAATTATAATTATTTATGTAACAACAACTTTAATATGTATTATACCACTTGTCTAGCCATGAATCGCTATAAAAATATGAGATTTTTGAAGATGGGAATAATTTTCCTGATCGTCAACTTAACATATAAATCAACAAATAAAGCAATTGTTGTATATCTGGAAGTTTTCATTGGCGAAAATAGAGTAAATCTATAAACTTTCATGTAAAAATGTGTTTCAGCATTCATATAAAGTGACACTTCCGGTTAGCCGATTTTAACGAAAAAGTTGCTGTCACATCTGGCCCATATACAAACCTTAAATACTTAATATCAGTTTTGTACTACTTTTCGTTTATGAGCTAGACTGTTAACACACACACAGACCATTTTGCGACATTTGGTTATTTGAACTCAGGGGACCTCAAAACATGTATTTCCGTTGAAAACTGAGATTCGAAAATTTTCACGATCGTAATACTTACCCTTACTATATATTACATATATACGTAAGTGAAAGTAAAAAAGATTAATTACTAAAAAGACAACTAATTATCATCAGATCTAAGACATCTTACTAAAATATGCTGATAGTATAATAGTGGTAACTATATGTCTTTAATTCAGCTTTCATTAGGAAAAAAGGGAGGTTTCTATTGACGTTACAGAATTCAACCCTGAAGGCTCATTATTCTTGTCTATGGATCACAAAATACATAAAACAAGAACAAAATACAAACATTTAACCACAAAGTAAAAGTTGTATGAAGTACAGTTAATGAACCAACAATTATTTGAGGAAATGTAATTTGTCAACATTCAAGCTTGAAAAATATGAGAATTAAAAAAAACAAAAAACCTTAGACTGCAGTAAATTAACATCTGTAAGAGTCATGAATTTCGTTCAGGATGTGTAAGGCACAAATATAGATAAAATCAACAACTGATGCAATATATATTTTGATTATGAAGAACTGAACGACAAAAGGTCACTAAAATCAATATGAAAAGGCCCTTAACTAACTTTTAAATAATAAAAATGGGAAAATTTTGAATATTGAATTTAAAAAATATTGAATAACCTATAGAAAAATTAAGTTTTTTTTCACTTCAATTAAATAAAAGACCCTGGTGCCATTTTTTAAACAATGATATTACAACCATCATTCTTAATCATTCACAAATATTGTAAATATCTAATTCTCCAGGTGCCATTTTCATTGATGAATCCATAAATCCACAGAGAATTCTTCTTTCAAAAACTGTGGTCTTCTGTTCATCGACTTTCTTTAGCACCCAGCATTCACAACCGTATGTCAGTATGGGTCTGATTAGGGTCTTGTAAAGTGTAGCATTTGTGTCTTTATTTATTGCTTTTGTTTTAAAGAGCTTGATTAAACCGTAATAATCCCTCATGGTGACTATGATTCTGTTCTCTATTTCTTTGGAGGAGTTATTGTCAGCATCTACAAATGACCCAAGTATCCACCTATTTCTATTTGTCGATCACGTACCTCAGTCACTGCAACCATGTACTTTGTTTATTACTAGCCTCGTTGTTGAGTAGGTCGCTCCAAAGCTTTAAAGGCTTCTTTCATGCCTGATTACGACCTACTAATTATATCAATGTCATCGGCATAAGCCAGAAGCTATATGCCTTTATTGAAAATATCCCCGCCTATTTGTGTCTGCGAATCTCTAATAACCTAGGTTGAATAGATGGCATGCCAGGGCGTCTCCTTGCTTTAATTCATTCTTTGTTTATAGGGGATCTGATGGATGGGACTGGATCTTAATTTATCTTTACTGTGTATCAGACAGATCACTCCATTATTCCATTCATCAGGCATTTCTTCCTCTGTCCAGATGCGTTCCATTAGATGGGTAAGCTTCTTTACGAAGCCCTGATAGGCATTCTTAAAAAACTCTTCTGATAAACCATCTAAGCCCGCAGATTTGTTGTTGTTCAGCTTCTCTATTGCCTTACTTACCTCATCATTGGGTGTGAGCAGCTCTTCTCTGTCATCTCCAGAGAACATTTCACTGAAGAAATCTGCCTATCTACTGATCACAATGGCAGTGTCATTAAGGAGGTTTCCACTTTTATCTCTGCAAGCAATAGATCAAGGCTGGAACTCTTGCCTCATGTTGTTTACTTTTTTACACATATCCCGGCTTAATTTCTTTATGATAATATAGTTTGTCACTGTTAAAACCATTCAGAGAGGACTTTGAACGGTTAAACTAAGCTGAAACATAATTGCCTAAATATACTTTTTATTTTCAAAAAGAAAGTTTAAAAATAATGATTTTTAAATATTGTCCATGCATATAATTTATGAAACTCGGTTCTTCAACCAGATCTGCATTATAGGAATTTATGCGTACTTAAAATTAACAAAATAAATGTTTCTAATCCTAAAATATACGTCTCAAATAAAGAGAACTGCTGATTGCTTCAATTATTTTCATGGAAACATTAATATTAGTATCAGAAACATTTGTTAGTCTCTTATAAATACAGATCAATTATTTCTTATAAATACGGATCAATTCCTATAATACACATCTGGTGAAAAACACAAGTTTCATAAACACTATTTCAGAAAAATAATTGAAAAATCATTATTTTCAAAAAAAAATTTTATAAATAAAAAGTGTAGTTAGGCAATTATGTTCATTATAAAACATACCAGATCATGGAAGAAAAAGAAATACAAGCTTTATAACTAATAATTGTAGTAATTTAAACTGAAAATAGGAGTAGTTTTACTTGACAGCATCATATTTCTACGCAACTTAAGGTGAATCTTAAATTGTTCCTAAATTAATCTTAACTTATGGGTGATAAATATTCAGGACGCAGTCTTATTTAAAATTTTTTTTTATTTTTGCCAACGTTTCAACCCAAACATGTGGGTCATCTTCAGGGCTGAAAATGTTTTTTAAAAATTATAATCAGAGATATAATAGTATACGACCGCTAATTATAAATAATAAACTATAGTGATTGATGGCACATGAATCTTAACTAATATGTGTATTACAATATTAGTTAAGATTCATGTGCCATCAATCACTATAGTTTATTATTTATAATTAGCGGTCGTATACTATTATATATCTGATTGTAATTAAAAAAAAAAACATTTTCAGCCCTGAAGATGACCCACATGTTTGGGTTGAAACGTTGGCAAAAATAAAAATTTTTTTTAAATAAGACTGCGTCCTGAATATTTATCACCCATGATATGTAGAACAGTCGACTAACTTCCTTCAGAATTCATCTAATCTTAACTTAACAAATAAAGACTGAAAGCTTCTTAAACGAAATTTTTTTCGTAAAGGTGGGATATCTTTAGTATAGTTGGATGAGGATAAAAAAAAACTTGAATAATTTACGATTTTTAAAACACAGAATTTAACTTAGTTTAGCTACTCAAAAGTCCTCTTTTTTAAATTGTTTTAACAATGACAAAAATGTAATTTATTTTAAAGAAAATTTTGTCTAGTTTAAAGTGAGACAATTGTTAATTACTTAAATTAAATATTTTTTTAGTCCAACATAAAACATGTCTTACTTAAAAATCGTACCTGTAAAAATTTCCCTCTACTTAATGGAACACTCTGTATTTGTTACATTACTAAATGGATGGATGTTTTAATCACCCTCTCTTTCTCTTTTTTTGGTAACTTTATAAACCGAAACGTCTCCAATTAGTGCAATCAGAGGATTGCATATCAAAATCAATTATTTCATATCAGACTTTTTGGCTGGTAGCAATTCTTACTGATTGTAGCAGGTCTATATGTTTTTATACTAACAGTCTTATAAATCATATAAGAAAATCAATTTCAATACAGTTATCTTTGTTATTAGGTGGATTAAAAAAATAAGTAAATATATGATAGTAAATACAAAATGTACTTATATTTTTTTTGAAGTATAAGAAGAAATTCATAATTAATAAATAAATACCAATTAATTAAGTTAGAAATTACCCTAAGAAAACGACCTCTTGCATTTTCTTTTAAGTCCAAATAATAACGCCGATTGTCCTTGATCATCATTTCTGACTTCAATTTCCCATCTTCTGGAAGATTGTCAGGATTAGGGGGACCTAAAATGATAAATATTTTTTTTTAAACATTTCCTAAGATATTTTCTAGCACACATACTGGTCAATAAATTATAATCTAAAGATTTATAAATTTACTAAAAATTAAAAAGGAACATTATATGAACTGAAATGTATAATTTTTTGAGATAGAGTTAGTATGAGTTACACAATAGAACGCTTGATGAGAGGAGGCTGTCTAAATGGGCTATAGACAAAAAAAACAAGTATCTCAGCCATAGCGTTCAGCAAACAAAGATAAGAATTTAGGAATGCTTGTGTCTTTCAAAACTAAAAAGATATTAGCCATGGTTTAAAAATAAGAATTTTATAACAAAGTCATCTAAATGAAGAGTAGTAGCTTTTTTTAATAAATTGAGGAGCTAAATTTTTATTACACTTTTTTGAATTTCAATATTACTTATTGATACAAAAACATAGCAAGTGTCTCAAAATTAAACAAACACTTTTATATATCGAATATAATTCCACAATGTTCTGATTTCATCGATGGAAAATTCATAGTACAACAAGTAGTACTCTAATACTAAAATCAAGATTTAATTAGACGAAATGTTACTTAAAGAATTTTTGTAATAGACCTATGATATGTTTGTCTTTCGGTATACATGCAAGTACGTATTTGCTATTGCTCCTATAAAAATTTCTCTCTACTTTGTTGCAAATATCTGTGATAAAATATATATCGAAACCTCTAATTTAAAAGGAAAAAAGTTAACAATCATTTCTAAATTTAAACTTATGAGTGATAATAAGACAGACAAGAAGTGATCACTTATTATTAATCTAAACCATTGCAGTGATTTAGTCGTTTATATAAATATCAATTATTTTTCATTTGTGCCTTCAAGGTCTTCAGTAAGGATTTTATTTTAAAATTATAAATATTTTGCCATCAATAAATTGCTAAATTCAGATGACGTTCTTGATAAAAATCATCTGGAAAAAATTATTCTATTATACTATATTAGATTTATATTATACTATCCTACATATAGATTATGCGATATTGAACCTCCCATTAAAAAAGTACAAACACAGATGAACTGTGAAGTGACCACAAAGCCTCTAGGTTGATCCAAATAAATTTTTTGGAGATTTTCTTCTTTCCATGGCTCATGAAGGACCTTGGCCTACTTTATCGTTTTCCTCCACTCAGACCGATCCCCTGCTGCTTCTCTCCAATGTCTCACTCCCAGTGACCTCAGGTCTTCCTTTATTTTCGGAGAAAAAAAAAATGCAAAAATAAGTAAGTTCACATATAGATTGAATCGAACCCTCCTAAAAATAAGTTTATAGATTGAATCGAATGCTCCTCCTTTCAGGTAATTCCGGCATGACTTAAGTCAATTCAGTTGGTATTATGCGAAGCACAGGAGGTCCTAGTGCACTTTATTCAATTATTGGTACATTAATACACTGATTAACATTTTGGGACATAGTATAAGTCTCATCCCACATTGGTGAGTTTTATGAAAAGGGCAAGAATTCAGAAAGACGTTATAACTACTGGAGAACTCTTTAGAGTCACGAGTTCGCGTCCTGGTGCCCAGACTTTTTAAATCCCCGCCCATACTCCCTGGCCCGGGAAAACCCGCGTATAGCCTAAAAGGCGAGGAAGCGGAGGACAGAAAAAAAAAATCCTATTGATGTATTATTATTTCTTTATTTTTTTGTGAGTACTCACTTGCCTAAAATAAATTATTACTAATTACAATGCTGAAGAGAACGGCATATTTAGAATAGAAGTAGCAGCAAGTGAAGTAATGTATACCAATTAATTGCAACATCAATGATAGGATATGAAAGTATATTACTACATTATGATCTAGTAAAATGGCCTACTAGAAACTTATTTAATAACTGCATAATGCTAGTTTTACTTTTGACCAACAAAAAAATGTTTAAATTTATTTAAGGCACCCAGGAGCCTAAAAAAATTTGCTAAAATTTTAATATTTTCTAATATTATTTTCTGCCTTTAGCTCTAAATGGATTTCTAAGTTTTAGTATATAGACCTATTTGGTTTTGTGTGCAAAATAAGAAAACAATATTGCTGATTGTATTAATCAAATTCAAATGTATGATAAATTCCAAAAATCACAAGGTTCACTTCCTGTAAAATAGGTCAATTAAATTTTTAATCATAAAGAAAAAGATTCAGATTTATTTAAAGGAATTTTCAAACTATCAAATATAAATTTTTTGGATTAAAAAATCTAGTGCGGAAAAAAAAGATTCAGATTCGTTTAAAGTACTTTTCAAACTCAAATATAACTTTTTTGGATTAAAAAATCTAGTGCGGTTTGTGCATCATACAACTTTTACTTAGAAACCTTAGAGTAACTAGGTATTTTCATGTATGAGGAAGTCAAAATGAAAACTATGACATAACTTCATTTAAAACAATTAATTATTATATTTTTCCCACCTATTGAATCAGTTAAATTTATATGTTCCTATCAGTTTCCATTTCCTTTTATGAATGTGTTTAGTTTCAAACAATACAAATGATTGTGGGGGAAAATGGATCTTTTAGAAATATTTCGAGTTTTTTTGGAACTCGGATCACGAATCTCATCGAAAAAATAACTTAACGATAGTAAATATTGTATATTATAAGGTTTATATTGATGATCCTCAACATTTTGCATGAAAATCTTCTTAAAAAATTATGGATGACTGATATATAAAAGTTGAGGTAACAATATAAAAGCCCTGTACAGATGGACACCGGGTATCGGTAAACAGAGAAGATGGTCAAAGGTCAGGCGCTCTCAGCTATATAGTTTTCTACCCTTATTTATCCTTCAGTTATCAATAAGTTTTCTTAATTCATTGTATTTAACCATTTATTATATCAGTTTCCAATGTTAAATGGTTAATTATTCCAAATTAAAAAAAATAATAAAGGTACTTTAGGGGAAGAAATTTTGAAAATTAGACATTTAAATCATGTTAAAAACGCCAATGAGAATAATACGTACATTATATCAAAACCCACTTAATTTTGCACTAGTATAATGAATTTAATCACAATCGATCAAGCAGTTTTGGAGAAAATCATAAAAATGTGTAAAATCGATGATATAAAGTGGCACTTCCGCTTAGACGATTTTGACAAAAAAGTTGCTGTAACATCCCAGACATGTACACACCTTAAATACGAAGTTTCAATTGCACATGACTTTTCGTTTTTGAGGTAGACTGTTCATAAACACACGGAGACCATTTGGACCATAAAACATATATTTCTGTTGAAAAGTCAGATTAGAAAAAGTTCAGGTTCACAATACTTTCCTTACTGTATATTACATATATAAGTACGTGAAAGTAAAAATATAAATTTTTGGACTTGATTTTAAGGGAGGGATGTTTTTCATGGTGTTTACTTAAGCATTTATAACTCCTCAGGATTTTCTCTTAATTCAATACCAATACAACTGTCGTAAAGCTGAATTATTGCTCTTTAAAACCATTTCCATAACTTTTAGAAAACCTTCAGAAAGAATTAATAAAGAAAAACTCTAATATTCTTATTTTGTATCTGGAGTCCTAATTTGTTTAAGAGGATTTGGTTTGTGTTATTTTATGTAGTTTAGAGGGCACTAAATCCTTGATGATTTTCGTGTGGTTAGGTGGAGTCATGTTTGAAATTATTCTAATTTTCCACACCCAACACTTCTGTCAAAATTATTCCACAACTTATCACTGATCTCGAATATATTTACGCAGACGATTTTTTCACCACTTCAAAAGAAAATAAGGAGTTGTCACGCGTTTCCATCTGTAATATTATTTCCAATTATCTCTTACACCCACCGCTCTCCTCTTCTTCTCTTTCTCCTGAATTTTTCAAAGACCTCTCTTTTACCCGATCCTTCTTAAAATCCCATGATAATATAATCATAACCAGAGCTGATAAAGGCAACAAAACTGTAATTATGGACCGTACAGAATACACTGACAAAATGACTTTACTCCTATCAGACCGTTCCACTTACTCTCCTACATCCCGTGATCCTACCTCATCATTAAAAACCAAATTTAACCTACACCTAAAAAATCTTCTAAATTCTAAACTCATAAACTATCCTACTTACAGAAACCTTATCTCCTACAATTCAGTTGCTCCCCGTTTTTATGGACTTCCTAAAATCCACAAACCCGGCACCCCACTCCGTCCGATCACTTCCAACATTAATTCTCCTTCTGTTAAACTTAGCAAATTCTTACTACCTTCCTTACAAATCTTCAGCCACAACAAGCCCTTATGATGTACAAAACTCATTCCATCTCCGTGAACAGCTACTCTCCTTTACCATTCCAGACAATTTCATTCTTTGCTCCTTCGATGTTGAAAGTTTATTTACGAACATACCCATAGACAAGGCACTTACTATAATAGACGACAATTGGACTATCATTGAACCTCACACCTCACTTAACCGCTCCTCATATCTCGAATCCCTTCATCTATGCTGTAAATCAGGCTACCTCACTTTCCAAGGACAATTTTTTAACCAAATCTCCGGACTAGCAATGGGTAACCCCCTCGCTCCCGACATCTCGAACATCGTTCTCAATGATCTTTTAGACTCCATTATCCCTCTTTACCCTGACGATATCATCTTTATTCGGAAATACGTAGACGACCTCCTCCTAATCATCAATCCAAATAAAATTCCTGATATCCTATCACATTTTAACTCTTACCACCCCTGCCTCAATTTTACAGTACAACGCGAACTCAATAATTCTCTCCCTTTTCTCGACCTTCTAATCAGTTCAAAGAATTTAAAAATATATGGAAAAAGGCATAGTAAAACTGAAGATTTGAAGTTGATGCCATGAGAATAACAACCAATATATCTCAAAAAGAGAGGAAATATAGGATATGTTTAACGGTTACATTTACAGTTAAAATTATTATAAACCAATTACTAATTGAAAAAATATTTATATTAATTACCGAGGGAAGCATAATAATCACTAAATGTTGATAAATGGTCTCGAAACTCTGCTGCTGTTGAAAGAGCTAAAAAAATTTGACTCCGCCTTCCATCAGCTGCTATCTGAAAATCAGAAATACCATAGGGATAACTTTCTTATGTAGGTTAAATATTTTGTGTAAAGAATATACTTAAATACAATTTAAAAAACTTGATTACTTTCTAAAAATCTGATAATTAATTTTAGTAAGAAAACATAATAATTTTATATAACTATGAACATAAAATCAGATGTAACATATAACCCTTCTAAAGTGAGATAGTTAAGACAAAATTAAGCTGAAATATCAAAGAAGTTAAATAATTTATTTAAAACCTTAAAAATATTGCTCTATTAACAATAATTTCAGCTAATTCTTCACTGTTATTGTTGAAACGTCACTAAGAGTTAATTTATTTGTTTTATTTTAAGACAAATGCTGATAAAGAATTGAGAAATAATTATGCATAGGCATTGATTGAATTATTTTATATATTTAACAGACTTCAGGTTTTATATCAGTAACAGACTGATACAGACACCGAAAAGAAATAAGTTGCTTTACTTTTATAATCCCTTATAGGCAATAACTTAGTTGTATATCAAGTTTCTTGTTTCACAACAGAAAATGTGAAATTAATTCAGCTGTTTCACATAGGGAAGAACCTAGTGGGCAAGGGCAATTTAGAACAGGACACGTCACGTTCAAGGAAGGGAAGCCCCTACTACATAATTTTAGGCAGTTATCATGTTCAAAACATCCTTTTAAACTTCAGAATATACATAAAAACATAATAATATCTGTAAAATACCAATAAAAAGAGTTCTATTTATTGCTTTACAAAAAGCAATTGCATGTATCAGTTCTACAGATAATCATTCTTGTTATATTGACGGATGGAAAACTCTTCCTCACCACAACTCACGTGTATCTTTTCGAAATCTTTATTTATTTGGAGAACCCATAAGAATTAAAAGCTTCTTATTAAAGACATTAATTCCTAAGGATTAAATCTAGTAATATATTGGAATTTAATGATTGTCTGTTTTAGAGAAGGCAGTCGGCAGAAGGTGAGGACTTCATATTCTACTAATATCCGTTCAACCTTTTCTTCAGTAACTTAATAAATATTCATGATATTTACAAAAAAATCTAGATAGTCGAGTTAAAATAAATAATTATTACATCTAGTATATTTAAAATCAATTTATTATCATTATTATTACAAACCAAATATTAAAATAACCATTTTACATCAGCTCGGAGAAGTCAGAAATCAAATCAAATAATCCAATGAATGAAGATTTTTATTATTAACACCATGTGTAATTCTGCTCATTTGAAATAACTGTGGTTTCAAATTTACTACCATATACTCGTTAAATTATTTATAAATATTTTTACTGACTTACCCTGAGCTTGATTCCTTTTAAAAACATTTTTGTTTTTTCATATATTTTGTCATTTTATTTTTTATAACTAATAACCCAAATATAACATTTTCTGATAGATAATACTGAATCATAATTTTTCATCCCACCAGTGGACAGATCAACAGTATCTTATGTCACTTCCTTTTTCCACCTAACAACATAACACTACATTGACTTGCTTGATACCTGTTTTGTAATGTAATTCCATAACAAAAAATATGGTTCAAAAAGTGATCTCCAACAGGGTCACTATAAAATCATTCAGTAAAAAAAAAAAAAAAAGTAAGAAATTAAGATTACCGTATTAATAGTAGTTTTGTCTCATTCATAGTGTTAAATACCTGTCCAAACAACCCTTATTTATTACTAGCTAAATAAAATTTAATACAGTTCTATTAAATAATATGACAACTTATTATCATTATTTTATTTCCAATTTTTCATTATTCTGTTTTAAGAATCTCATGTTATTATATGAGGAGTTAGTCAGGGGTACGGTCAGATAAATACTAAATTAAAATATAGTAATTATTTTATTTTAATTTTGCCGATGTTTCGACCCACTTTGCAGTGCAGATATCTCTGATATCAGCTTTTATTTCTGTATCTGACAACTTCTTCTTATTTTATATTTAATTTTTATTCTCAACATGTTTTGTATCTTTTGTAGCCCTGAAGACGACCTGCAAAGTGGGTCGAAATGTCGGCAAAATTAAAATAAAATAATTACTATATTTTAATTTAGTATGTATTTGACCGCACCCCCGACTAACTCCTTCTCATATTATATCAACGGTCAACCATCTCTACATCATTCTAAATTAGTGAATAGTTTGATGAAATTTCCTTTTGTGATATTCCAACAGTATCCACTTTCAATTAGTGTGATAACTTTTGACCTGTCTATGACAGACAATGCAAATCTCTTAATTCCATTTTAGTAAACTTTGCAATGGAAAATAACAGTTTAATAACTAGTAGTCGTGCAACCCGTAATCAATGGATCATGCAATCCATAATCAACCGGTGATATAATAAATAGGACTTTTGTTATCTTAATGGTATTTATGATTTGTTAGCTGTAAATTTTTAGCTTTAAATGCAATTCAAAAATTTTATAATAGCCCAACATGGCCGGAAAATAATTTCTATTCAAATTGAGCGGTAAGTGAAAGTTGTGTTGCGCTCACCAGATTTTTGGGTGTTATTCCCATTTCAAGTTTAAGTTTTGCTATGTTTTTATGAATTACCTCTTATAGTTTAATTCATTAAATATGTTTTTATTATTATTATACGTACCACCTATTCTTCAATTAGCTAATTCACTAAATCTTGATTAGATGTGACACCTTAAGTTTGAAATAATACTGTTATTTTTATTATGATTTTATTTGGTCACTACAGTATACAGTTCTGATTACTCTCTATATTACAAGAGCTACTTGTACTGGTTTGTTTCATTAAATTATTAAAGTCAAAATTACTTGGCTTTTCATATTAAACTTAAAATAAATAAAAAAGCAAAATTAAAATAAAATAATTACTATATTTTAATTTAGTATTTATCTGACCGCAACCCATGACTAACTTCTTCTCATATTATATGAACGGTCAACCATATCTATATCCTAATGTTATTATATTGAATATCCATGTGTGATCTTAAGTGAGCCTTCTATTTATATAATTTCTCAAAATCTACTTTTTAATGAAACCATATAATAAATTTCTGGCAAATACAAACCAAATATTTCTTCAAACAACTGAACAGGCTAAGCCCAGAATTCATAAAAACATTTGCAGACTCCATTACAAATAAACTAAAAGAATCTGTAAAAAATAATGGCTTGCCTACAAGGTATTAAACTAAATTAATAGTATTTAAAAGTTAATAAGTAGTGAGGTGTATAATTTTAACTGAGGTAAAACTGTCCACTTTTTTCCTTAATTTTGTATATAATCAGTTGAATATTATAATTTTATCGAGTTTTTACATATTTAAATAGAGATAATAAACAAGTCTGTTGGTGTATCAATTTTACTGTGAGGCACTGCATATACAGTATATAATATTCGCTAATTTACCAAAAAATTCTCTTTGTTCTCTTCTGAGAGCTGGAAAAGGGATCTATACTAACTATATGAAATTCTAATTATAAAAAACAAAACAAAAAAAAAAAAAAATATGAGACTAATACAATACTAATGCATTATTGATACTAGTTGATTTGTGAGACTCTGGATGAAAAGTAATTTTGATGGTGACCTTAATACTTTCAGAGGTTCAGCACAGTTTTAGTCATTTACATTTAGCAATATTTATATAAAAAACAAATCATTTAATACATTTCAGAGGAACCCACTTCTTCTCTAAGTTAAGTGTTCACCCCCCTCTAAACTTACCGGTATTGCTATTTAAGAGGCTTCTAAATTTTTCCAAAGAATAATAGAATCTTTCACTATATAAAGTTGTCAGAAGGTTGTGGACAAGCATTTCATATATATTACAGAAAACCTGGAGAACAGAGCACCTGAATCGAAGACTAGGGCAGCAATAGGCTCTGTTATTTCAATCTGTGCTAAATCAAAGCTGTAGGATAGCAGAATAAAAGTAAATGATTCAATTGCAATTAGTATCCTTCAATATAATGTTTAACTATGGGGTCTCAGGTATACTGATAAGACAGAAAGCATAAGCTTAAATTTTCTAAATAAAAATTGTCCCTTCTGGTTAATGAGATTGGATTTAAAATACTTCATTGCTCAGTTGCGATACTGAAATCGGCGCTGTCTTGGGTGTTAAAAATGGAAAATGATAAGATTTCCTAAAATTTGTTTTAATAAGTTAAAACAAATACATATTAGTGGCGAAGGGAATCGTAAATTCAATTGGTTTAATTAGTTACACACTCTGCTGTGCTCTGTAAATGAACAGTTCATTCTGGAATTCGAAGACCCAGGTACATTCCAGATAATGATCAATGAAATGATAAACCTGTTTAAAAGCCACATAGAGGAGCTTCATAAACAAAAACTGATTACCCCTACTAGGTACAGCCCAATGTATCTTAATACGTATACAGTGAGTGACAAGCATCAGCCTTATATCGCATTAAATGCCCCGTTTTATATGACAAAATACTGACAGATTAGGTTATCTGGCAATTATAATATTAAATTAATATTTAATAATGCATATTACTATTCCAAGCCAAAACAAATTTGTACGCTTTGTAACCTAAATGAACTAGAGGATCTTTTTCATATTTTTGTCGGGTGTCCGATTTACGCTGCCTTCCGCCATCATCTCTTACCTCATTCCATTAATATGACCAGGGCAAATTATTAAAAACTGTCAACGAAATCTTCCTTAAGAACCTGTTTTATTACACGAGGCAATGATGCAGATTGAGGTCCTTCATTTTCATGAAATATTACAAATATTTTTCCAAAACTTTGTTCTGCTTGTGGTATTTATTGTTCATGCATGAAACATATTTATATGCATATCATGTTTATGTATTATATATTATATACTATTCCTATATTTATCTTTATTACTATTCATCATTTTATTGCTTGCTATGTTTTGCTGTTGTATTATTTTAATTATTGTATTACATGAAGTATTATATTATATTTCATTGTTTATATTTAGGCATACAATCAGATGCTTGGTAATCAGGAGAGGATGTTGCCACTGAATCTTAATGAATTTTACTTTGTACATAAGTTGTAAATGTTTTTCATATTAATGCGTTCATTGATATCATTATAGCCAACTCTATTTGTATGGAGCATTACCCGAAAACAAATACAAAATATTCATTCATTTAATAATTTAATCATATTTTGAGATTAATTAAATTGTGTCAAAACTTTACACGATATCACTAAGTACTATGAGATTCTAAATTTCAATTGATCAAGTTGTTCGCTCTAAAAATTGTAACATGCCATCAAACAGATAAACACAAAAGAAAGTTAATACAAAGATTGGCCAATATTAAAAGTTAAAACAGTTTCAAAACAATCTCAGGATCTAACTGAAGAATTCGAGTGATAAAATTTAAAAATAAGTTGAGCTCTTCACATAACTTCAAAAAGACACGTGAAAGATATTTAATGTAATAATTTTCCTATATTTTGAGCCGCAAACAAATGATGAACCTCAAAACAACTTTTCTTGTAGCTATGCTGTATTCGCGTAAAAATATGTCATTTTATTAATTACTGATCAATATCAAATTTTGAAACTTTAAAAATAAATAAATATCTTAGTGCTACTTAACTACTCTTATAACCATTTTTTTTTACCTCCCCAAATATTTCTTCTCTAGTTAAATACAAGATTTGTTGCTACTTTATATTATTATTACTTATATGTCAACATTTTTATTACTACTCATAATGAGACAGTTAATTATTCAAAGACAAAACCAAATTAAAGGTACTTCAGAAGAAGTCATAGATAAAATTAGCCATTTAAGCACTCTCAGACTACCAATGAAGATAAAACACATATACCTGATATAATAAAGACCATTCAACAACAGATCGAGTTTAATCATAAAACACACATTTTTTTTTTTTTTTTGGAAACTTGATTATTTGAAGTGCACCCACTGTGGTTTGGAAAAGTGGAACTCGGATATGAAATTGCTCACAATCGCAATACTTTTTTAAATTTACATTTCTTATATAGATAAGTGAAAGTAAAAAGGCTGATGAAATAACCATAAATTATTTTTAATAGAGCTTAAAAGATTATTCATATTATTTATGATTTAAAAGAAAATGTACTCACTTCAGCTACTTTAATAAAACGGCCTCTCCTATTTTGTTTAACATCTAAATAAAACCTTTTAGATTGGATTTGTATCATTTTAGTGGCAAGTTCTGTTTCCCCAGACTGCTGCTGTCCTGTAACAAAATCAAAAACTTAAAAGAAATCCTGTAACTGTTAACACAATTTAATTTTTTTATTTAGGATAAATACACCAGTATCAGAAACAATAGATGGATTCAATTAGTTTTTGTCAAATATAGAGGCCAACTTTTCAAATACCAGGATTTTCATTGCCTGAATTTGATAGTTTTACTTCTTAACAATATAATAAAACAATAAGATGAGTGAAATTTCATAATCTACATTTAAAAACAAGATTTTCCTGACAATGTGTTCAAGTACCAGTAACATAATTAACTTGAAATTAGTTTACAACATTACAAAACATCGAAGTTAGTACCACACACTTAAGTAAAACAACAGTAGTGATTTTTAAATTAAGAATTAATAACTAAAATGACAATAAAAACTCAATTAATAACAATAGTAAATTATATAGCTGATCGAAAAATTAATTTAAGAAGTTAGTTGTTAGTTGCAGTCAATGAAGCTGCTTACAAAAACTAGTCAATATATAAAATATATATATATATATATATATATATATATATCAATTGGAAAAACCACATGGATATGGTAGTCAATAGATCCCTAAAGACGATAAATGCTATCACTGTCGCAGCAAGATTAACTTGGGGACTACGGACCCAGATATTAAAGCATATCTACGAAGGTGCTATATTCCCAAAAATCTTGTACGCTATAACAGTGTGGGAATCAGGTGTCAAGAAGCAGACCAATCTTGCCAAACTGCCACGGGTACAGCGGCTTATGGCCATCAGGATAAGCAAAGCATTTAACACCGTATCATATGATGCAGCTTGTGTTTTAGCAGGTATACTTCCAATAAATTACAAAATCACAGAACTGACTACAATATACAAAATAAAAAAACATAATGGGATACTAAAACATAGCACGCGACAACACTGAACAAGAGCGACCTTTAAAACAACGGTTACACCCATCAATACAAGCCAAACTAGTACATTACTTGGAAGAAACAGTAGAACCACAAACAAACAGTTTGGATATTTACATGGATGGAAGTAAACAAGAACACAAAACAGGCTGCGCATTTATTACAGAAGGAGACGGCGACTATTATGAAGAACTATACAGATTCGGACAGAATTGCTCCAATAATAAGGCAACTGACAGTTCTAAACTGGCCTTATGAATATAATTTGGCCCCCTTCACTTATGATAAAAAACTCTTATGGACTGATTTAATCGAAGAGTGGAACAGACATTGGCAACAATCTACCAAAGAACGACTATTACATATATACATTCTAAACATCATCCCACAAAACTGCAATATAAAAAAAAGCATCCATTATAAACTAACCCAATTTCTTACCAGTATCTGAACAGATTCCACATAAAAGCGACAGATGCATGCGATTGCGACGGACTGAATCGACAAACTTCCATACACATTTTAAACTACTGCCAGTTATAGAAACACAAAAGAGCCACCTTCCTGAAATCCTTTTTGACACAAGGAGACACATGGCCTCTTCCCGAATCTCTACTATACAAAAAATACAAGAAGCAGTTGAAAGAATTCATTAATAGCATAAAATTACAACAGAACATTCCAGCATAGAACTTTCATTTGAATATACTTTTGGGGATAATAATTAAAACTAAATAATAATGTTTTAGACTTAGTGTAGCTCAGACTTATGTATTTTATTCCTTGTTTTGTGGATACTCAATTGTAGTTTTGTAAAATTTGTTTGTTCGCCACATAATTTTTGTATATGTCTTTGCCTTATCATACATATCTCTTTTTTGTTCATTTATTTATAATTTTTTCTCTTATTTAGTACATTTTGGTACTGTTCACTCATCTGATACTGTTATTTATTTAATTTAAACATTTATTTTGTAACTTTCTCTTAGTAATATATTTTAAGTACCATTCCTTTTAAATATCTTTAACCAACACATATTTTAATAAGCAATTTTATATATATATATATATAAAATGTTTGAATAACAAAGTAATGCATAAATATGCTTTTGCATGGTGTATGCACATTTTTAAGAAATATATGCCTTCTCTATAGGGTTACTACAGAAGAGAAAAAAAAAATATATATATATAAATAGAGCTACTATAAATCAATGGTCAAGAAATTTGGTATAATACCATTAATACTGGTAGTGCGAGAGAGAGAGAGAGAGAGAGAGAGAGAGAGAGAGGGAGAGAGAGAGAGGAGGCGAGAGAGAGAGAGAGAGAGAGAGTGAGTGAGGGCGAGAGAGAGATAGAGAGAGGGAGAGGGCGAGAGAGAGAGAGTGAGTGAGGGCGAGAGAGAGATAGAGAGAGGGGAGAGGGCGAGAGAGAGAGAGGGAGGAGAGAGAGAGGGGGGGGGGGGGGGAGGGAGGGGGGCGAGAGAGAGAGAGAGAGGAGGGGGCGAGAGAGAGAGAGAGAGAGAGGGAGAGAGGAGAGAGAGAGAGAGAGAGTGAATGGGAGAGGGTGGGAGGGAGAGGGAGAGGGGAGGGTAGTAGTATAAGGAATATACTACTTAACCAAATTATTAAGGTTAGGTACCTGTTGGACGCACAAATTTCGTAAACAAAACGTTTTTCGCTTTGTTGCACCATTTAGGAGCGCTACAGACGAAAAAAAAAAATGGTGAGTGCAATACAAAACTTTCACATACCGCTCAACTTAATATACACAAATAACTTCTTTGAATATAAATTATTTTCTGGCCAAGTTGGGCTATTATAAAATTTTTGAATTAAATTTTTAACTGAGCTAAAGTTAAAAGATCACAACTAACAAATCACCAACAACATCAAAATAACTTATTTATTATATCACTGGTTGATTATGGATTGTAGGACTATTAGTTATTAAACTGTTATTTTCCATTGCTAAGTTTAGTAAAATGGAATTAAGAGATTTGCACTGTGTCATGCACAGCTCAAAAGTTGTCACACTAATTGTAAGTGGATACTGTTGGAATATCACTTCTTTCACACAAGTACAATGAAATAGTATCTTAAACACTGTCATTGCCTTGAAGAATCCGTGGATTTTCAATACTTTTTCAAACTTCAAAAATACCTTTTAAGTTTAACAATTAGTAAGAAATTTTCATTTAATTTCCTTGAAAACACGTGATTTACGTAAAATAAGGTTAATTTTTAGAAATTATTATTTATATTTTTTTCGCCACTCTCCGTTACCTTCTACAACTTTTTACATTAGATATTGTTTTTGTTTTTGTAATTCTCTGCTTTCCAACGATATCTTATACCTTATACGTATACCTTCTGACTAATATTTTCGTCCTGGATAAGTAATTTTCTTTTTTCTCTCCTTTATTCAATTATCAAATTCTTTCAAAAGTTATATTTGGCACTTTTTTTCTAACTCCTAACAATGAGAAATAGTTATTATTTGTAATAAACCAAATTAAAGGTACTTTAGAGGAAGACATGATAATATTGGGATTTCACAAAGGGAAAATTTATCAAATTATTCACTAATATAATGTTCTAAAAAATAAAATGATGATTTTTCAGAATAAGCGGACATTGATACTTAATTATTTAAATATAGTATCAGATCCAAAATTATTAAACTACAGTAAATGTATTTAAGGTTATTAACGTATGCTTTATAAAATCATGAAATGATTTTATATTTCATTTCTTTTCTCACAGAAGTTCAATGAAATAGATTTTTAACTATGTCATTACCTTGATAAGGTGGATTTTAAACACTTTTTTCAAAATTTAAAATATATCAAAAGTTTACATATAATTAGTAAATTTCATGTAGTTTCCTTGAAAACATATCAATCTGGATAAGCATTTTTCCTCCCTTTATTCAATCATCTAATTCTTTCAAAAGTTATATTTGGCATTTTTTTTAACTCTTAATAATGTGAGGTAGTTAATTATTTAAAATAAACCATATTGAAGGTACTTGTATATGAAGATGTATATGAACATAATTGATATTAAAGACCACTTAATTATACAATGAAACACCGAGTTTAATCAAAATTGTTAGAACCGCTTTTGAGAAAATTGTAAAAATGTATTTCACCGTTGATATAAAATGTCACTTCCGGTTAGCAGATTTTTACGAAAAATTTGCTGTAACATACAAGGTATATACAAACCTTAAATATGAAATTTCACTTTCGCACGACTGTTCGTTTTTGAGCTAGACATTTATTTTCGTAGAAAATTCAGAGTCGAAAATTTTCACGATCGCAGTACTGTAAGTCATAGAATCTGCGTACTTCGCATTAGAGGTAAATTTAAGAACTATAGCATTATTAGCGCGCATGCTTCAACTGAGGTAGCCGGTGAAGAAACCAAGGATGAGTTTTATGACCTGCTCAAAAGAACATACGACCTATGCCTAAGACATGACGTCAAAATCATCGCAGGACCTACCATTGGAAGCCACAGTCTTCATAGTCGTTGCAATGATAATGGTCAGAGATTAATATATTTCGCTACCTCAAGCAGACTTGTGATAGAAGGAACTTTCTTTATGCACAAAGATAACTTCCTTTGTCCACAAGGGCACGTGGACCTCCCCAAATGGTGAATTAGTTAACCGAATCGACCATATACCATATAAGTGCGAAGAACAAGTCGGATCTGATTAACGTTCGCTCATTTAGAGCAGCCAATATGGACCCCGATCACTTTTTAGTAATTTCACGCGTTCGAGCCCGTATCGCAAACGTTAAGAACAGACGGACCCAAAAGACAAAAAAGTATAACGTTGATGGTCTAAAATCAGAATCGACTCAGGAAGATTTCGCAAAGGATATTGAAGAGAAGCTTCGAGAAGTCGAGATAGATGAAACTAGTGCTATAGACTTTAAATGGGACGAATATAGTAAGGTAAACAAGCAGGTGGCTGATGTTATCAGCGGAGAGCGAGTGAGAAAACCCAGTGGCTCGATGAGGAGTGTAAGATAGCTACCGAAAGAAAACAAATGGCGTATAAAAGAATGTTCCAGAGAAG